TATTAAAAGTTAAGCCAATCCACCCCTGAATTACACATTACAGTCATAAGAATAAAGGAAATGATCACAGACTAAAGAAGCTCTAGATTGTTGAACAAATTCTCCTTGTCAGTACTTTAGGAAATGTATAGAGAACAGGAACAAGAATATGCATACTGATGTTGGGGTGTAAAGGGTTAAGTCTGATGGAATGCATTTAAGTCAAGCTAGTACAGTCAAACCTGTATTACGCTGCAACGTACCAAGCAGTCACCCTGTATTAAGCAGTTGGTTGTTAAAGTCCTAAAGTTTTTTCTTCTTAGATACTGACAGTAATAATTTTCACCTCTATTAAGCAATGGTGGTCACCCTTTACTGAGTTCTAATGGTCTATTTGTTTTGTCTTCCTTCTTGTAAAAAGACACTTAAAGTGAACCACTCTAATATAATTAAGAATAATCTTTCAAGTAAACACTAAATCCATGTTTATCTCCCAAAACCAATGTCACTTAGTAGTTTTTTTGGAGCAAGTTTTTGTACATTTTGGAATAACATGGCATTTTGTTGTTGTTGTTGCTGTTATAACAACCCTGTTCTGTAGAACCTGCATTAATCATAACCATTACAAATTCCTCAAATATTATTGGTGCATTTGCAGCTTCATTTTTCACTAATCATTTTGTAGTTGTTATAATTGGACAGTGTAATTCGACAGTTGGCTGTAATTGGACACCTGTAATCCAACAGTTGAAGTAGCCAATCATACTAGGTCCACTAAGCTAATCCACAAATCACAGAAATGATCAAAATAACCATGGCAACAACCTCTTATCCAAAGAAAAACTGGGGAATCTCCAAAATGGAGGAATTTTTTAATAAAGACATTGTCTCTACTGGAGACATTTTTTCTAGGTGTATTTGTTTTTTTCAGAAATTTAAATGGTTATGATTAATTCGTAACACAACATCTTGTTGTCCAATTCTGTCAGTAATCATATTCGAGATTAACAAATCAGACTCTTACTTTACGGTCCAATTTTGTCAATCACTAATGTGTTTGATTGCAGACCAAATTGGACTCCACTTGGTCCTAAGTGATCAACCTGCTTAATTCAATTTCCACTGGATAATTATTATTATTATTATTATTACTATTATTATTATAATTATTTTTATTATTATAATTATTTTTATTATTATTATTATTATTATTATTATTATTATTTTTATTAGGAAAAACAACCCAATAAGTCTACTCCATTAGTTACTTTCCAGTCTCAAAATAAATGAAAAAATTCAAAAAACGTTCTTACAGTCAGACTCATGTTTTATGGGTTGCAACTGTCTTGCACTGAGTAAACATTGATGCATCATCTGGGTGGGGTCCTGAAAAATCTACAAAAATACATGGATTAAGACATTCAACTGCTAAAATGCTTGGTCCAATTGGAAGAAAAAACATAGCCAAACACATATGTCCTACTTACAACTTCATCATAGAATTCAGAAACCAGCTGTTTTTTTCCAGAGGCAAGTGCAGATTCTGTTTGGAAAAGCTTCAAAAGGTGATAAAATGTAACCTGTAGAAAAAAAATTACAACACAAACATTTTTTAAACTGAATGTCAGAAGAAACTTCATACCAAATGTAGGCATTAAACAAAAAGGATTTACAAAGATTTTTTTAATGTGCTCATTAAATGCGATGCAGAGAAACCACAAATAAAATAGTGTGATGCACAAGATTAAAAAAGGATAAAAAATTAAGAGGATCAAATAAACAGTAATTTGAGGATGAACAATGAGGTAATACCCTTTAACTCCCAAGATCTGATTGTTAATTCTCCCCTCTAGCTGCTACACATTTCTTTGTAAATTAGGCACAAGAAATTGGTGTTTGATCTAGATGACAACTTCTACCTGATAAGTTTGAGTATTCTCATTACCTGTTTGCAGGATAATGTATCAAAATTATAGGGAGAAGTTACATGTTTATCACTTCTGGGAGTTGAAGGGATTAAAAATATGGACAAGCATTGTAAGTGACCAGCTGAGGAAATCCATGTGTAAAATGTTCGACCATGCAGAAACCCTAACATAGCCTCTTAGGTTACCATGGCATTCTTTCTTTCTCTCATATTTACTTGATCTATCAAAACCAATTTGGTATTGTTTCCCTTATATACCATAACATTTTGAAATTTACTGTCTTTAAATGCTCATAATCACAAAACATATGATAACCTAGAAATAATATATATGCAATTGCATGAATGTGCAATGATATATAAAAGAATCAGAGACATTCTGAGGAAATTTAATGAGATAAATCAATCTTTCCGAAGTTACAGTTTTGTAAATACTTTGAGGTCTACATAGAAGGTGAACTAACCGGTCTTTCACTTTGGTCCATGAAAAATATTTTGATCTGTATTTCAAATTCTCCCCAACCAGACTCATTCACTTCATATGGAGGCTTTGTTACCACTGTAACAAAAAAAAATGTTGGTAGACATGTCCCAGCACATGACTCAAACAGTTAAATGCTATGGCAAAGCACCACCTCTAAGAGGGTGGTAAAAGGGTCCTTATCTTGTTTTATGCACAAATTTTAGACAAATTCATACTTCACATAATACTCTAACCAACAATTCTCACACAGAGCAAATTTGAAAGGATAAACTTCAAATCTCTCTTCTTACGTACAAGGTCTCAGGGAACTCTTGAGGTTTTCATAAAATGAAAGAGAAAATTAATGTAAATTCTTGCAGCACAAATCAGTTTGAGCCTTGACCCTTTAAACCCTAAGAGTGACCAGCATCTAGTTTCTCCTCACATTAATACTGCTGAATCATTCATTTAAGATCAAGGGAATACAGAAAATTATCACCAACTAAAGAAGCTCTTGATTGTTAAACAAATTCTCCTTTTCAGCACCTTAGGAAATGTATAGAGAACAGTATGGAGAATATACATTCTCATGTTAGAGTGTAAAGCATCAAATATCAACCCTTTGTCACCCTTCTCTAATTCACAAGTCCAACAAAAAGAAGCAAAGTTTCAAATCAAATTGCTATAAAGACAAAGCTTCTTCAATTCAAGTATTTATAACAAAATTGGGGAAGAATTTAACCCTTTACCCCAAAGTATGACTAGCATCTAATTTCTCCAAGTACAATATCACCACTGAATTACACATTAATGTTATGAGAATAAAGTAAATGATCACTAACTAAAGAGACTCTTGATTGTTAGACAAATTCTCCTATTCAGCACCTTAGTAAATGTACCAAGAAAAGTATGGAGAATATGAATCATAGGGTGTAAAAGGGTTAAAAAAAAAAAGAAGAAGAAGAAGAAGAAGAAGAAGGCTTCTTGTTTTAAATTTTTTCTTGTTTATCCATCTACCCAGTATCTGTCTGTTGTTACGTCTCTCTGTTCAGTTGTGCATCTATGCAGTTTTGATGGTAAAATTTCCACACAGCCCTATAATTCATCATGCATACAGTTCTTGAATAAAGAAAACAATAGCAAAAACAATAAATTGTCTTTGGGATTAAGGCTTTGTTTGACAACAGTATAGGGCTATACGGAAATCTTACTGCTTTGATTTACGTATGTTTCCTTTGTTTATGCATCTGTCTGTCTCTTAAACTCTGTCTTCATGTTACATCAACCTTCATATCGTCATCAATTCCTCTAATTTGTGATTTGTTTGACTGTCTGTCTATCTGTGAATCTCTGTCTGTCTGTAGTGCATCTGTCTACAGGTCCATCTCTGTTGATCAGTCAGTCAGTGACTGTCTCTTTGTTCATCTTTCTCTTATAATCTCGCCATCCCCCCTCGAATTTCTTACCTCTTAAGGGATTAGCATAACTTTCATGAAGTTTGAAGTGGACTTTCTTTACATAGCTGGACATGTCCTATAAAAAACAACCACATTTTGAATACTTCGATTATTCTTCTTCAGATGTAATTTTATTTTCAATACTTCCATAGTTCTATTTGAGATATAATCAACTGCCTTTTCAGAGCCACTGGCGAGAAATTTGGCAGACGTACGAACCTCGTTTTTGAAAGGGCGAAGAAAAACTGTCCAACCATGAGTATGGCCGTCGCTTTCACGTTTCTTTCCAAAGTAATGAGACACATTTCCAAATATTACAGGTTTTATGACTGTGACACCCTTCAGGGAACAAAAAAATGCAGTATTTTCAATTAAAAGAGAAAGAAAGCGAAGGCTTATTCTACCAGAAAGTTAACAAACCTTTACTCTGGCATTATCACCGGATGACGCCATATTGTTTCTGTCAGTGCTGATTATCGCGGGCGTACACCACGTTTACCATCTTTGTTGAGTATGTGTAATAAAGTGTATCCGTGTGTAACGAGAAATGCAAACCGTGATAAAATTTAAAGATTCTGAAGTCAGAAGTCGGAATTCCCTCTTTGGCTTTCGTGCAAACATTCGTAAGGCGTGCCAAAATTCGTGAGTCCCTTTTGAGAATTCCTGCCAACCCCCTTTTTTATTGTCGAAAGAAAAAGGTCCCAAATCCTGACGGGGAGTGCGTGGGATAGTGGGGTGGGGGTGGAGGGGGGGGGGTATTCCCTTATTTGACCAAATCGAGTATATACCCGCTCAGTAGATTTAACAGACTATAAAGTCGTTATTCTATGTAATATCTCTAACAGGGTGTATTTGGGAACTGAAAGTCATGAAAGGATGTGAAAGTTTCCGAAGTGCAGTTCGTATGTTGATATGATTCTTGTTGCGCCAAAAATAACATGTTTTATTTTGTCAAGAGATTACAAACGGTTATTAACGGCTTTGGTGGCTCGACGGAGCATCCCTTCTCCCTTAGCTAACTTTAATTGCCCCCCCCCCCCTGTGTGCATTTCTCAATATCCTTCTTAGGGATTCCTCCCCTCCGCATGATTATTCACCGTCGTTTACTCGGGCACATCACTTTACAATCGACGCCGACGAAAATAGAATGGAGTTTACTGACGGCAGCCTTTAAGATCCCAAGCTTGTATAGACTTTTAATATACTGAAAGGGAAATACAACTGGCTTATTGTTCCACGTTTTACAAGTTGAAAGGTTGTCAACTGTAATTTACCCGAAGTTAGAAGACCCAATCATAAATAACCTCTAGATCTGTTATGCAGCTAGTTCAAACACCATTATGGTCTCCAATACCCATTCGTTTCAACGGAATACCGTATTCAATAGCTAATATCGAAACAAAGTGTCCTGAATAAATAATGAGTGTAAATAGGGAGGCAACATGAATGCTGTTAATAAAAAAAAAATAGTACGTGGAGCCAGCATGTTTTTCGATAGCAATGACCCTACATACAGACAAAAATATTTCTACCATACCTTCAACAGATTTTTACGGTTTCTTTTTTTTTTTCAGTACATTTGGGAAAAGTATTTTGGCGAGGCTAAAAAAAAATCAAAACAAAACAAGCTTGGGTTTTTGTAGGAATTGTTTACATAGGCGGCAATCATTCCCGAAATATCACAATTGCTAATATCGATATTACATGCTAGAAAGTTAGCTTGCCAATTTTACAGTATTGGTGACCAGTTATAAATATTTTAATTATCTTCGAATTAGAAGAAACTTGAAAGTGAAAAATACTATCGTCAGTTTGTGTCTATTATCTGTGACAATTAGATGCGTTGTTACATCTCAGACGTAACATTTTTGACCTTAGGAAACTGAAAATGTATCTCTTACAAATAGGAGAACAAAATAAAAAAAGAAGAGAAAAGAAAAACCGCTGAGTTACAATGGACTGTCACTCGAAGTTGTATTTGTGGTGTAAGTTCCTGAAACTGTAGGACCTAACGATAGCGAGTTCATTGACTGGCTCATCTGCAGAGAAGCCGAACGCAGTTTTGTGACGACTTTTCCAGAAGTTAGAATCTTTGAGAAAGCCTTGCGATACGGTCGGAGACGCCACGCAAAGACGAAAGGATTCATGCTTGAATTGGCCATGATTAAAATATAATTTAAATCTCTTGCCCAGTGAATAAATATGCAGTTACAACTTCCGCAGAAGCTTATCACGTAGATAAGTAGCAATGACGGGAGAAAACAGCTGATAAACAGCGCCAGCATGATAATAAAAGTTTTTGTGATTTTCTTCTCCCACTTTATGGCTCTTATTTTCAGGTGATTGTCACTGTCACGACCATGGTGTAAACTGTCCCAGTTCTTCACTTGTTTTTTAAAGCTTTTGAAAACCTTCGTATAGGTGAGGCACATGACAGAGAACGTAGCCACTACCGCTGTATTTGCGAAGACAAATTGATACTTCAAGTAACCGACTTTAAAGTAAAGAAATGGAAAGCCAATTGACACGATCCAAAGTACAAACGAAATAATGGCAGCTCGCTTTGTAGTCAGTTTTATCTTGTATTTCAACGGATCTGTAATCGCAATAAATCTGTCCACAGTCAAAGCGGCTAAGCTAAACAATGACGCCGTCGTAGAGATGAAGGAGCTGACACGCCGAACATCATCTCTCGGAAGGAGAGTTATCTTTTCAGTTAGCGATTCGCGAATGTAGAATTCCACTGACATTGGAAGCGCAACACAACCGACAATCAGATCTGCTGCCGCTAAATTAGCCACCAAGAAGTTAAATGGTGATCGTAGATTACGATTTGGATCGATAATTACGGCAAGAAGTATCAGGACATTGCCTGTGACAGCTGTAACGGCGAGTAGGGAGCAGAACGTCGCAGATGTAATGCTCAATGCTGTTGGAGCAGAAATATTCGAACACGGATATAACCCGATTAAAGACATCGCTGTGGCGAGAATGTTGCCTTTTCGTCCTCAGAGTGCTTATTAGACCTATTTATAACAAGGTTAGAGGATGGAGAAGTGTAAGCAAGATCTTTGACCGGAGATGTACGATTAGCTGTCACTGTTTTGGCTGCCGGAAATGAAATTTACATGTCCATTCGCTAATTTGATAAACTTCTTGAAATAGAAAGTCACGCTTCGTAGGGAGGGGCGGTCCACGTCAGTCAAAACAAATAAACTGACAAAATTCAAAACCAGATAGGACTGTGTCGCTCAGAGGACGGCAAATTTTGTATTGATTATGTGATCTTATATAGGATTTCTTCTGGGACAAAATTAAAAATTGATGGAAACCACGTGATAACAAAGTTAACTCGCTTAAGTGAAAAGCAACAGGCATTCTCAAGCCCGGGGCGAGACATAGATCATTTTCTCAAAAGGGAAATCAAATTAATACAACTTGTCACATGGTAACGTCAGACGTATTATTTAAAGGCTTTCTAAAGTGAAAAGAGTACTTCAATAGTATGATATCTTGCGTAGTATAATTCATTTCAATTTTGAAAAATTCAGATCATATGAAAAAGGAGACAAATTCATATCCTGAGATATGTGGGTGATTTCCTCGCTACGTCAAAAAAATGAGGCAATTACATAAATGTAAAGAGCGCTTTTACGTAACTACAGGAACCCATAACGATTTAGTAAGGGCAACGAGGATAAAAAAAAAATCGACCGTGTAATAAAATGAAAGCGAGAAAACGTGTCCAATGTGAAGCCTTTATTTCAGGCTTTAAGCCGGACAATCAAACACAAAGTGCTCCTAAAGAATTTCTCTCTAGGAATTGATTGTCTCTTTTCTTTAAATGTAATTGTCATCTTTTTTAGCCCTAGAAATTCCGTTTTTTTTCACGCAGCATGTATTAATACTTCTTTTGTTTGTAAATTGGAGACATAAATTTTTTAAATTATCCCCTCTGGCTATTTTGGTTTCTTTAATTTGTGGAAGTTAAACAAATTAGAATTTCGCTTAGAGGTCGACAGCGTTCCTCGATTTTACTAGGCGAAGTTTCTAAGAAAGTGTTCAACAGAATTGAGCAACGCTGTCTTATTTTAAGTATCAGCAAATATCTTGAACGAGGAAGGTAAACAAAAATAGCCTATTTCCGACATACTTACGTCAACAAACTACAGCTGAAAGAAAATGAAGACAAAAATTATGAAAAAATTAAATATGCAGTATTGTGAAAATGAAACAGCAATTGGCACTTCATCAACGAATGGGTAACAAGCTCTTTCATAGCAACTGATCACAAGTATTAGCACGTGGGTTTGGTAAACTATTATAACTCCGCTAAATTTAAAACAACACTTGACTGAAAAGTATTTCAATTTCCTAATGGGCTCATCGAGTATTGGATTCAAGTTAAATAATTTATGGGCGGAATTTTCCCAATGAGAAGTTAAGAGTAAATTTTCGATGTAACACAATTCTTCTTCGATGACGTGGGCAAACATGCTATGTGACTATCTTGCTTTATTTTCTTCCAAGAATGTTTATAACAAATTGAATTGAGTTTTTAAACAGTTTGTATGAACCTTGTATAATATTTTCGAAAATTAGTGTTTTGTTGCGTCGAGAAATATGATCTCAGAAGTATTATGACCCTGCAAAGAAAGGAAACAAATCTTAGATAATTATATAGAGCTTTATCATTTGCACCAAAATAAAAAATTCTCGATCAGTATTGAAGTTCATGAACGCCAACCAGTGAAGTATTGACGTCATTACCAACAGTCTTAACTGGAATGAAAACAAAGCCAGATTCATATACGTTACTAATAAAGCGTGAGGTCAATGAGGCTGGATATTGACCGAGTTCTTTTTTTATTTTTTTGCTTTTTTTATGAACAGAGACGAAGTCGAGATCCATAAAAGGCGAAAAAAGAATGAGGCTAATATTCAGTCATCCTGACCGAACAAGTTTGGCCAATAAAATAGTAAAAATATCTCGCTTTCAATAAGAATCAATATTAACTTGTTCATTTCGAGAGCTAGGAAAGAAAGCCAAATGTGTTTGTGGCACAATACATCCGCGAGATTCGTTTATGTTCCCTTTGTTTTAACTTTCTTCTGCCGCTTTTGCAGTTTCATCGCCGACATGTCCGATTTTTGAAAGTTTGCTCTACGCACTTTTTTTCTTACGTTGGATCAAAGCGCGCAATCCCGAGCGGGCAAGATGGGCTCATGTTGGCTGCTCAAGTAGCCGATCGGAACACATGCAGGATTCCGACTACATATTGCCCACGGGTGCTGTCAGCTACGTAATAAAGAAAAGATACCATGTATTTCGATTGTCATTGTTGAGAGCTCTTCGTCTTGCAAAAACGTTTCAGATTCTCTGATTCTATGTCAGTTATTTTGAAAACGTAAATGAAATACAGCAAGATCGCGCTATGAAGCAAGATAAAGTAAAATTGTTCCTTTTAATGTAATTTATATAACTGCTTACTGCTGTTGGTTTTTCATTACAACAGAAAAGTTACTGAAAAGATTCTTTCATATATTATATTCGTATATAAATAATTATACTTCATTGTTTTCAAAAAATAATGGCATTACAAACAAACGAAATGAAAAACAAAACAAAACAAAACAAAAAAACTCAAGACTTCAAGATTTGCGCCAAACAACTGTATCAGTTAGAGAAAAAACAAATGAGCAACTCACAACTTGGTCGCACGCGTTTGATTTCCCGCGTTTAGCGACGATCACGTGTACCTTTTTACGAATTTTTATTGTTGCTGAGCTTCTTTCTCGTACTCTGGCCACTCACTTGTTAACTAAAGCTTTAGTTTTCTGCCTTCAAAAAACTGATTTAAAGTTCTATCTATTAAATTAACAGATTCATGTTTCATTTAGTTTATCCAATCGGCATAACTTGTTCTGGAAAAAGAGCTGGAGTCGCAACAACAGCAGCGCCAGTTTCAAACTTCCAAATGACAGAGCCATCATCACCGTGTAGAGCGTAAACAAATTTATCCGAGCTAGCGGCGTATACGGCGTTATCGCGTGAAACAGCCACCGACGCCACGATGTAGTCACCTGTTGTTGGAGACCATATATGTGAACCGTCAGTTTGGTTGAGTGCCAAGATGCGCCCATCGCCAGATCCTACAAAAACCTGTGGTTTTAGATGACAGAATTGCACAGATTAGAACAACGAGGCTCTACATGTCATTTCGAATTGTATCTCGCTAATTCTACAGGTCTGTTAACTAGAAAAGTAGGGAAGGAAATCGGTGTTGGAGGCAGTTTTAAATTAGGTTTCTTACGCGATCTGGACTGTAATCATTTGACATCTCCATGCGTAGTGATTGATTCAAAAAAAAATCTCGCTACCTGTTAAACCAATCACATACAAAGCTCTAGCTAGTCGTTAGTTGGTCCCTAGCGTTTTCCCGCACTTTAGAAAGCCTTGTTATATGAACTTTGATCCAATCTAATTGAAAGAGTTGGTAGGCAGTGACAAACTTCACTCACCCTTCCGTCCTCAGTGATAACAGGCGATGACACAACCTCCCCGCCAGTATTCACTGTCCACTTCAATTTTCCCGCCAAAGGACCGCTTACGGAGTTAACAGCAATCAGTTGACCCTTAATCAAGCCAACGTATAGGGTACCGTCCAACCTACTGACCACTGGAGAGGACTCTATTTCGGACCCCGTGTCATACGACCAATACAGTTTACCAGTTTCGCGGTCTAAAGCGTAGATATTATGGTCTAGGGAAGCAAAGAATACGGTTTGGCCACCAGGTAGAAGTGTTGGAGAGCCATAAACGCTTCCAGCACTGTCAAAAGTCCACACGATTTTTCCCAAGTTGGCATCGAGGGCGAAGATATGAGGTGTGTCTTGAGAATCCGTTGCGTTCGACTTATCCGTGGTGCAGCCGACGAATAGCAGTCCTCTTTGGTTGTCCACAGCGACAGCACCCCAAATTGGGCAGCCAAGATCTGTCTTCCAAACAACAGATCCATTTCTACCATCTAAAGCATAAACAACCTTATCCTGTGAACCGATGAAGACAGTTCCATTCACACTTACAGTTGGGCTGGCCACAACAGCACCTTGTGTTACTAGAGTCCAAACGACTGAACCATTGGCTGCACCAAGTGCGTACACCTTACCATCCACGGAGCCGAAGTAAACGATCTCCTCGTCCTGGCTGAGCGATGCAGACGACATGATCTTGCCAAGAGTTCGGAATTTCCAGATGACAGTTCCGCTAGCTGCGCCGAGTGCATACATGAAGTGGTCTTCAGAACCAATAAACACCATCGGTGGTATCGCTGAGGCATCACCGAGGTCCTCGTCATCTAATAAAAAGAGGAAGATAAAAAATAAACCATGCGAAATTAATTATGAATATGAGATGATTATATTCAGTGGAAATGGTGGTTTGCAGGCCCATCACATGTTTAAATAGCAAAAACGCTCGGTTTCTCGAGTTAACTGTCAATTGAGCCCTCATTTCATCTTCGCCCTTGGCAGTTCGACGATAAGAAATCAAAAAAACTTTAAATCAATTTACGCCCACTTGATTCTTAATCTCTAGGGAAAATTTAAAGGTAAAATATCACTAAGTAGTTTATCCACGACCTGCCATAAAGCTACGTCATGTGAGTTATAACAGCTGAATTATAACGATGGTAAAGACACTGTACCCCAACCCTAAGAAGAACATTATAAAATGTAGGCTACAAGGAGAGGTTTTAGTCAACATAGCCATATTTAAGAAGATACATCTAATTTTGGTTATGTTAAACTCACAACAAAGCCCGCAGCTTTCTTGACAGTTAACCAGCATCCAGTCCGGATTGGTTCTGCATTCCCCTGAAGTTGCCCACTGTTCACAGTTTGAATGCTTATCTGAGCAACCTGCGAAGGGTTTATGAAGTCTGTTACGAGGATTTTTGAAACTTTTTAAAAAGAAATTTATCAGATCGTCCACATATTCCGAAAAATAAATTGCAAGGAAAAAAATCACCGTCTGCACTGAGTGGGAAAGTAATCCTCTTGTTTGTTGGATTTTTCCGGGCTTTTCCCTCTCATTTTTCAAAATATTTTTCGGGGATACTAGATAAATGTTTTTCCCTCTTTTTTCGTTGATCACGCGTTTTCCCGGAAATTTCATTGGTTACACATTATTCGGCGCTTTTCACTGAGAGCAAGTTTCCCGCGCTGATCACTCATGACGCATTTCCCTAAATAAGCACTACCCGCGCTTTTGCCTAATTTCACTTTTTCCCGCGTCTGTCAAATGTAATCCGCGCTTGTCATTGGTTATAAGTTTTCCCCCGCTTGACACTAGTCTCATGTTTTGCTGCGCTCGACACAAGTAAAAAGAATTCCCGCGCTTGTCATTGGTTAAAAGTTTTCCCGCACTTGTCATTGATTACAATTTTCCCGCCTTTAGCACTGATTTCCTCGCAGAATATCTCCATCAAGGACGAAGTCTACAATTCAGAAGTTCTATCGGACTTTTTTTTTGTCTTTCTATCATACTAACCTAATCCTTTGTCTAGTTTCTGTTCCAGAGGATGGTACTCATAATCAGTGATGTTGGTGAAATACACGATTTCATTTTCGTTCAAGGAGAAGTCCAAGGCCCGGAAATTCAAGTAAATGTTGCGAGGGTTTTTTGACCGCGGAATGACTGTGACGTTCATGTGGATGGCCCAGCGAAGAACGACTTGAGATGCAACAAACTCATAATGGCTGGCAACCTCTAAAATCAGCGATGAATGAAGGACAGGGTTTTTCTGCAAACCGTGGAAGTAAACCCATTGGGTGCCTAAAGGAAAGAGATCACTATGTAAAAAAAGGATCATAGATGAAAAATCACTGACTCGGGTTCGTTCAACTAACCTTAGTCCATGGAAAAAAAACTTGATTTAAACCTCATCTTTCGTGAAAACCTTTTCAGTTCGCCTCACTAAATTTGAGTCATTTCCTCGTGAGGTGCAAAAATTTCCTTCAGCTCAAGGGAGGCAACAAAAACTAATAACGAAAAAGCTTGTCCAAGGACGGTGAGGATTGGAGGAGATTACAAATGCCAGACATTGAGCATCATAAATAAACATATCAAGTACAAACACGTTAAAGTCAGCAGAAGTAAAAGTAACTAATAATTCAAAGATCTTATTCAACAAAACCTTACCGAGAGTTGAATACCCAATGTACCGGATGTTATGCTCTTGACAAAACTTTCGAACTTGCCTGTCCTGATGAAACGGGTCAAACCAGTTCTGGACTGTTGATACTGGTACTGTAGCAAGTTTTACTAGTTCTTCCAGGTCTTGTATGTAAAAATTGCTGACACCTAAGCTGCGTATCTTTCCCTTCTTCTGCATTTCCTCCATGGCTTTCCAGCTCTCTTGCCACGTGCCTTTAGGTTCTCCTAAAAGCATCAACCTATTAATTTCTTGCTCAAGTGATCCACTAGAACTATTTTTTTTATGGAAATCAAACAAAAGATCAGAGTTTACAGTACAAATACTTAAACCATGCCCACCCAGCTTCTCAAGGACCATGAATCAAGTGAGTACGGAAATGTTAGGGCAGAGATTTAAGAAATAAGGGCGAGGGGACAGTGAGGGTGAAGAGTCAAATGTCAAGGGTCAGAGGTTAGTGACAAGGAGCAAAAGGTAAGGGCAGAAATGTGAGAGATAGCGGTAGGGGGGTCAGTAGTGAGAGATAAAGAGTGAAATGTCAAGGGGAAGAGGTCAGGGATGAGGGAATGGATGTCCAAGAAAGGGGTGAGTTGGAGTGGGACTAAATAGTACAATATGGGAATAATTATAATTATGAGAAAACTTGCCTTCTCCGCAGATGAGGAGAAAGTCGTCGCAGGCCTGAGAATGTATAAGAAACAGATCAATGTAGTCCGTTTTCAAAGATTTCAGAGACATCTCAATGGCTTCTAATGTTGTCTCATAGCCAAGAAATCTGGGGTGTAGTTTGGTCATAATGAAGATTTCTGCTCGAGGGATTCCACTCTCTGAAATTGCTTTTGCAACTTGTGGCTCTGAGTCAGGATAGCCTTGTGCAGTGTCAATCAACCTATTTAGAGATAAAGAAATTGGAGGATGTTATTTGAGAAAGTCAAGTCTGCTTGAGAGTCAGCTGGTCTAAATCATAAGAGCTCACCGTGAATGGGATTAAACAACTCCACCAAAGCATACCAAAAACAAAATAAACCCAAACAGAGAATAAGTTCAGATCCCTTGATTGACATCTAATTTCTCCCCACAAAATCACCTCTGACTCACACATTAATGTTATGAAAATAGAGGAAATGATCACCAACTAAAGTAGCTCTTGATCATTAAACAAATTCTCCTTCTGTGTATCTTAGGAAATGTATAGAGGACAGTTTTGAGAATATGTACACTGGTATTAGGGTGTGAAGGGTTAAATACCCAGTACTAGCAAAAGGCTAATATTTAAATTGGCTTAGTTCTGCATTTCTCAAAACAAGAGCTCAGTTTTAAGTTGGAAAGATTTTTTGATCAAAAAACCAAAAAACACCCAACATCTCAACCTTGTGTGCCATAAGATTTAAACTGTTTCTTAAAATTTAAAGTTTCTAACACTAATGGCAAGTTTGTTTACCTGTAACCAACTTCAAGAGCTGTCTTTACAGCTTCTGTTGTGTTTTCCATCAGTGTTGCTGTACCAAACCCCATGACTGGCACTGTGGAGGTGCAAACATAAAGAATGTTCAATATAACAATGACTAAAGCATGATAGCACGTCACTACTGATATTCAAACCCTTTACACCCTGACATCAGTATGCATATTCTCCACACTGTTCTCTATACATTCCCTAGGGAGCTGACAAGGAGAATTTGTTTAACAATTGAGAATTCTCTAAATGGTAATCACTTCCTTTATTTGCATGACTTTCATGTTTGATTCAGGGGTGATACTCCTGAGAGAAATTAGATACTACTCACTCTTAAGGTTAAATGGTCTAAAACTCTCAGGGTAGCCTTTAGTCAGTAACTTAAACAAAGTCAAACTTAAATCATAGTCCTAGATTTACATTAGAACCAACAGGACTTCCAGCTCAAGCTCAAAGTGTTTTCAAAGTTACCATTTAATGACCAGAAACTAAAATCTTGTTGGCTGGCAGGCGAGTATATTTTTTATTTGCTTTAAGAGATTCATGGAACAGTTCAAAACTGACACTGGAACAACAAACAAGAAAGAGGCATATTTTTGTAAAAGAAAAGAACAAAGTGCCAACAATATTTTAGGAAAATCTTAATCTCAAGTTAACTTTGGACCTAACAAGATGATTATAGTATTGGAGGTAAAAAAAAAAAGGACATGGGGGGGGGGGGGAGAAGAGGAGAGGTAAGAATAGAAAGATGGAAGGGATGAAGGGGTAAGTTTAGAAGAAAGGGATAAGGAGGGAGATGCAAACACTGTAAAAGTGAATAAGAGATAGAAAAATATACTGCTCTATCCCCTGGATACTGAGCTGTCCATTGGACAGAGTTATCTAACCTCCCAACGAACAAAGCCTGAAAATTTAACTTCAAGAACATTTTCACCTAGACCCATTTCCAAAACCCTCTCTCTCATATCATTCTATCTGTACTTAAGAAAGCATAAAACAGAATTTTTTACAGTAGTCTTGCATTTAATTGCTTGAGAAAGTGGCACAAGTTTTCTGGACCAACCTCAGAGTGAGGTAAAGCATTAAACCAAATTGCAATCCTGGATTATTTTTCATGCTCAGTTGAAAATTGTTCTAACATCAAATGGTTACAGCAAATAACACAATCAGTATCATGCTTATTATTGGTCATCACTCACTTGTATATCCACTTGCAAGGACAACATCTGGTGGTCTCTCGTTCTGTTTTGGAATCCTTAGGGGTCCACTACTTGGGTCACTAGTGTTGATTTTGAGAATGTCATTCAAGGCAAGTTTCTCTTCTGGGCACTGAATCCTGTCAGGCTCATAACCAACTAACTTATCAAACAGCTCTGTTACCTACAAAATACAAGAAGAAAAAAGAATTAATTGGCAGAATGGACAATAGTTTTAGCTGTCTGAGTTTGGGCTTGAACCCTGACAAGGACATATTGTTACAAAGATGGACAAAACACTTTGAATGTGAAGTTTACAAGCCAAAAATTCAAAGGGGAAAAGGGATTCTTAACTTGGAGTCCAGACTAAGCAGACATGCTCTGTGAAATATTTATCATATCTTTACTGTGCATCTAGTCATGAATTTGGGATTTAATTTCTAACCTTGCAGCACAGCTTCAAATGAAAGATGAAAGCTACAAGCAAAGGAAGTCAATTTAGCATTGGTCAGTCACTAGCACCTTTTTAAACAAAATCTACAGAAGACAAAAGTTTTTTAAAAACTTCCACTTGCTAACAAAAGTTAATTACAATTAGCCATATAAAGCAAAACATTTGGAAAAAACTGACAGCTTCAAATTCTGGAAGGCTATACTCCACTTCATAAATGCTAAACTGACCAATCACATTTCTGACACCAGCCACTGGGATATGTTAAATACTGTATTACAATCTTTGTTTAAAAAGTATAACAATCTGGTATCAAAGATTAGGGAGAGTACCTTTGTAACATCAGTGTCTTCAGAAATCCCTTCTTTTCTAAACTGCTCTTCAAAGTTGAACATTGCAAACCAGACATTGATGCCGATGTTAGGGGAGTCATATGATCTCACTATGTGCCACCAGTATTGAGGGATATACAACATGTCACCTATCAGAGAATGTGAAATTTTGCGACACCAGTGGCAACAATTACTTTGAAGATATATTCCTAACCCAGGTAACTGACCAAGACAGAATTTCTCTCTACACTATTAATACAATATATCAACAGAAAAGTGATGAGAACAAAGAAAAATATTGGTTCAGGGATTATTCTAGTAGATCCAATACCAACTTCTCAGAACTAACATTATAAGATAATTATATACAATAAACAGTAACTAGAGTTACTAATGAGATCATGGGAGTGAAAGAGATAAAAATTACTGGTTATAGAAAATAATTTTAAAAAATGAACAAGGCTACTTACCTCTATTCAAAGTTACTTCATAGTAAGGTACATCTGCTAGTTTGGGATACATCTCCAAATCTAACTTTTCTGGATCAATGGAAAGGACTCCTGGAGCAATGGTAAACTGATCAGCATGAAGTTCCTTTGCATATGTGCTGTTGACCAGATATACCTTCTTTGAACCTGATACAACTGTAATAATGTTCTCTAATCCATCATGATGAAAAGCAGAATTTGCTTCCCCACCGTTAAATAATAAATTCAGGTTGTCTATGGTTGACCATATCTCATGGCAGTTTAAAATTGATGGAAGAAAAATGTCTTTCAACATGGCACTGTTCTGTGGAAATGCAGAATCCAGGTACACGTTTTCCTGTCTATAAATATTCAAGAATTCTCTAAAAGCCAGTGGTTTTCTGACTGGAAATTCATTTTTGAATTTCTTGCGATATTCTACAGTGAAAATTTCAGATCCATAATTTGAGGTCAAGTACGATTCATTTTGCCATAGCTGGACTGCAGGCCAGTGGTTAGCTCCATTTCTGATGACCACTGGCCTCCTTTTGTGAATGTAGTTGTGATAAAAGTCAGCACTACCAGGCGCATACTGCAGACTTGAAACTTCACCTTCTGCTTGTCTGTGCTCACCAAAAGGTTTCAAGTGGCCTGGAAAAGAAAAAAGACTAATTCTTTCCATCCCAGATGTGAAACACATGTGACTTCTCTTATGAGAAAGGAATTGAAAGGGTGGGAAAAAAAATTGCTTTATGACTTCTGATCAACTGTTAGATTCTCCTTCCTAATCATCTTGTATTCTTTAGTAAAACTGATGGAGAAGTAGATGTTGAATCTGAACATTTTAAGAGCTTTATTCTCTCACCCCTGCGACTTCATTATGTTATCTGGAAAAAATTAATATGTTCAAATATCTACTCATGCTACTGAAACCCCCTTCTGATATCCAATGCACCTGTTGTTCTGAACAAGGATTTCATGTTGTGTACAATATTAAAAACTAGGAACCTCAAAGTTTAATTTTAAATGAATTATTTTCCTTTTGTTTTCAATTGTTGTTTTTGCTCTTCTAGCCGATCAAATATCAGCAGAAGCCGCTTTTGTCCAAAGCCTGTAAGGTGAGCACAGGTGAGTAGCGACTGAGGCTCTGGGTATAAATTACGTGGCCATGTGGTTACCCCGCGATAAACAAACCAATCAGAAAATTATACGTATGTCAAAAAATACTACGGCTCAAACATTACCTCTTAAACAAACGTTTCTCCAATTGCGGCTTTATTTTAATGTAGGTACAAAAGTGCCACTGAAATCGGCAAAAGTATTTTTTGTTCAAATACAAACATTTTGGATGTGTTCGTGGCAGGTCTATTAACAACTAAGTGTATTCAGCGTACGCGTTGCTTAGAAAGGTGTTCTCGTTTTCATATAAAACACAGTTCTAAATGTCTATTAGTGAACCGGCGGAAAATTCATTTAGAGCATCGATCGTTTGCAGAACAGCCAGAAAACTTGAAAGAAGTCTTGAAGTCGTTGACCTTACTTTATTAAAAATCTTGTTAAAATAAACTGTAAAGGAATACCTTTTTGCCCGATCTCATCACATCCATCTTTGTCGCAATAGCCTTGAGATGAAGCCGTTGTTAAATACCACAAAGAGACAAAAGATAACAGCAGAATTGAACCACCGGCGGGAAAATATTTTCTTCCGTGATCAATCCACAACATGTCGCAGAAGACAAGCGAAAGTGGAGAGATTTCCTGCAAGTTTTTCCCCTTTTTATCGGCTGAAATACTGTGTACACTATCTTAACGACGCTTCGAAGTATCGCAAGTCATAAATAGTCAGCTGATTTCGACTGACCATCTGTTCACGTCTCATTTTGATAAGACCAATCGAGGGAAGATTTCCATAATACGCTTTAATGCACTCTTCGACCTACGCGCATAACGGAAATTGCGTGACTATGTAAGGAGATTATAGTTTCGAATCAGTAACAAGCTAAACTTGAAACACGCGATTTTCTTGTTTTGCCTCAGTAGAGGACCAAAGCGCGATTATTTTAGAACCCAGTTTAAAAGATTATTCAGTTTCTTAGGAAACATTACCTTGAACGTAAAATCACACTCAGCAATCCATTAAGAAGCCGGCAAACCATTGTTCTTCCGATCGTTGACTGATTAACTTATTCTCAAAACATTAAAACATTCACCGCGAAATCTACTGTTGAACAAGATAAATCATGGCGCTACATGAACTAATGCTAACGCTCTTTCTCTTCAGTAAACTTTCTCCGTCCACAGCTGATATTGAAGCAGGTTCTCAAGTTTGGGAGGCAAAGGAGAATTTTCAGTTCGGTATTGCAGAGGGAAATGTAGAGGTAGAGTGTTCTTTACTTTGTTATGATTTTTAGCAGGTGATAGAGCAGAACACGGCAAAAGATCTTCCTTTGAAAGATCGCGCAGTAGTAGTCTTTCAGAGTGTGTTTTTTAATTGGTTTGGGGCTTTTATTGGGTTTTACCTCTCAAATATTAAATCGATTGACATGCTGCCAACAACTTTTATATGTTTTTATGTTTGGTTTACGATGTGATAAAAACGAAAGTTGCAAATTAAGTTTCGGAAACTATCCACGAAACATGACAAGTTAAAAATCCTTGAAAAAGTTGTTAGGATATTATTTATCATTCTGGGTTTACTTGTTCTTAATATTGTACCATTAACTCGGATTTAGTCGTTAAATCCATAATATATTGGGGAACTTAGAGTGGTTGGAAGATTCGACTTCCAAATGTAGGCGACAAGTAAGGTCAATTGAGGAAATGTGTTATTTACATTGTTTTCTTATCTATTGATGTACCTACAGCTGGTTTAATATTTTGCAATTATAATCTTACTTCAAACCTTTACAAAATTAATTATGGAAATATTTTAAAGTTAAAATGTCAGCTCTCTGGTTTCATCAGAGATTTTAAGTTCATTTTTTCAAAGTTGTGAGTTCCAGTGTTAAGTTTAACGCTTTTTAAAAGTATTTTATATATTTGTCCCAACACTCAGAGTGAACAGAATTAAAAGTAATGATCATTAACCAGCTTTGGATCGGCTCAATGGACAGGAGCATTGCTGGTTTAGCCTTCCAACTCTCAAAATCTGATTGTTCATTCTCCCCTCTAGCTGATATACATTTCCTTGTAAACTAGTTACAAGAATATGGTGTTAGATCAAGATAACCACTTTTAGCTGAGATTACTTTAAGTATTCTTATTACCCGTTTGTTGGGTAATATATAGATATTCTGGGGAGAAGTTAAATTTTGATCACTTCAGTGAATTGGAGGGTTAAGCCAGGCAGAGTGCAGTGGTATCACTAGACAGATATAGGCAACTATTGTCTTAGACCAAGGGCCAGTGAAGGTGAAACATTTGGCTTGAGTTGAGGAGGTATAAACCAAGTGCCAGCAAAGCTTAAAGATTTTTCCTCCCCTCTGATCAGCCAAAGATTGCATCATATCTTCTCATAAACACCTTGCTCTGACAAGCCCAAAAGAAGATACTAAGTTTTGCCTCGTGATACATAAATTGCACTCCCACTTCACAGCCATCCAATTTTGTTGATCACTTAACATAGGATTACAGACTGAATTTGACAACACAAAGTCCTATCACCATTATTAATCATCATGTTAAATTCTTTATCTTGTAGGATTCTGTTCTTGATATTGACCTTACTTCACACTTATCCTTCAAATATCAAACAAATGATGGACGAAACATTTTTGTCTTTGACAAGCTTTTAAAACCAAATACACTGAGAGCATTTTTAGATTATCTGAATATAGATTTAGGTTCCTGGCAGTTTCGGCTTTTTGAACCTTACGATGGCGGCGTCGAAGAGTTATCAGATAATATTCCGTGGGTGAATCCTGTAGACTGTGTTGAATTTTCAAAATCTATTGTGGGTAAAACAATTCAGAAGGCAGTGATGGATGCTGTTGGCACAAAAGACATTTACTATCCTTACAAAGTAAGAGGGAAACTTATGCGACGAGGAGACTTCACAAAACTTTACACTGATGCCAATAGAACGGATGGTGAATTTTCTGCCATGATGTTCTTGAATCCAAAATGGAGGAAAAATGATTATGGAGAGCTATATTTGTAAGTATAGAGTACTAAATAAATTTTATTACTAGAGTACTAAATAAATTTTTTTTTTTTTTTGACAAATTCACATTTATTTTACAAAGCCTGCATAATAATTACAAACATAAGCAAACAGATCTACTGCATTGAATAAACTAAACTGACTTTGACTCCTAAAAGTGACTAGAATCTAATTTCTCCTTACAATATCACCCCTGAATCAAACATTCAGGTCATGAGAATAAAGGAAATGATCACCGACTAAAGAAGCTCTTGATTGTTAAACAAATTCTCCCTACAACACTATAGGAAATGTATGGGAGATTATAATACATACTGATGTTTAAGGGCATATTAGGGTTGATTAAAGTTATTAAGCCTTTAACAAGGGATTTAGATGGAAATTCATCCTTTCTTGTCAGCTTCCATCATCAATACTCTTTTCTCAGGTAACTCTTAGAAAGTTGACCCTCTAACTCCCATAGGAGACCAAGACAGAATTTCTCCTCGGTATAAAATCAATGCTAACAATATCAGGCAGACATTGAGTCAAGAATAAAGAAAATATGTCTTTTACCAGATTGTTAGTTTTTCCAATACAAAAATTCTCTGCACTAACATCACATTAATTTTATGACAGACAGTAAGGAGGGATACTTGTGAGATCTGGGTGTGAAAGGGTTATTCAAAGTATTTTGTTACTAACAATAAATTTTGTTAATGTTTTTCTCAATCAGTGATCATGTGTAATAGTCTGACACAGTCTCGTAGTTATTGCTCGATGAAATATATTTTAGAGATGGCTATTGCGTTAAATTATCCGAACTATTAATTTAAAAATGAGGGGTGTACCAGAGGAGAAGTCTTAAAAGATGGGTTGGGAAGAAGAAAGACTAAGAACTACAATGTCATTTTCCATACAATAATTTTCCAGATATGATGAAGATATTGAAATTGTTGCTGGAGCTGTTCCCAAGTTTGGCCGCCTGGTTGTTTGGGACAGTTCTGTTTCCTACCTTCCAAGGCCTCCAAGCATTGCTTTCAAGAAAGGCCAGCTGCTTCTGCATGTTCAGTTCTCAAAATCAAAAGAAAAAATGCTGAAGAGCTATGCAGATGTAACTGCATCAAAAGCTATACGTCAGGCTGCATATGATGCTGGTTTTATTGGCAGTGATAAGCCAGTACCAAATGACATTGACATTGAGAAGAATTTTGTCTCAAGTTCTAAATCACTTGAAGGAAAGGAGATCCATGTGTTTGATGACCTGTTTGAAAAGGAAGATTTGGATCGGTTGCGAGCATTCATTTTCAAGCATGGCACATATTATTATGATGATAGTGATGAAGGTGATGATGACAGTGACAATGTCCAATGGATCGCAGGCTTTGAGATTGACGCATATATCAAAAGTAGACTTTGGAACATTATGCAGCAGGTAAGTTCTCTTGCTTGTTTAGATTAAGTTGCCACAATTTGAAAATCATCTCGTTCTCTCTCAATTCTTAAATGCTATTGATATCTAAAACAGGGGTTACAAAACAAGCCAGCAATCATCAGAGTTCCACCAGCCACTTGATAACATATTGCCAGTTACTCTTGTCAATATAATTACCTTTTGGCTCTTAACCCATTAACTCTCAGATTAAATTTGTAATTCTCCTTACTGTCAACCATTCAATTCTTCTAGTGTTAGTTCAGAGAATTTAGTATTGGATCAATTAATTATTTCCAAATTGATATTTTTCTTTATTCTCATCTCTTATCTGGTCGATGTTGTATTGATATTGTAAGGAGAAATTCTGTCTTGGTCATTCATGGGAGTTAAAGGGTTAATGGACTTTTCACAGTCACCTGCTTTGGCGGTGTCTGCCACCATTAATTAAAAATATTTTGAAACCCCTGCTAAAACCACTTTGTCAATTAAAATTCTTTGCTAAAAAAAAAAGAAAACATAAAAAAAGAGCTGGTTTGTACTTTAGCACTTTATGTCCCAAGATCTGATTGTTAATTCTCCCCTCTAGCTGCTAGATACAAGAATTTGGTGATAGATCCAGATAAAAGTTTGAGGGAAAGTGTCATATTTACTTCGCAGACAAGTTTGATCTTGCAATGAGAGAAGCCACCTAATTTTGTGTGCAGCACAAGATCTTTCTGCTTCAAGGAGCTTGTTGTCACAGTTAGATGAAGTTTTAAGTCTCTAAATTTTTCATCACTCCTCTTACAAAATTTAAAGAAGTTCAATTTTACTTGTAACAAAATGCTATTCAAAGTGACTGGTGCCCATTGATACTCCAGCATAATGAGAGGCACAAAAGAGAGGCGAGAGTTAAGTGTGTTCAGTCCAAGCATGTAACAGATGACCCCAATCAAAGCTTGTAATGAAATCTTTTTATCTAGAGTCAGTCATGCTAATGAATGAATCATCTTTTTCCACATGTATACTCAATTTCTATATCAAATCTGACTCACAATTCACCATAATCTAAAACCAAAATGGATCATTAACCTTTAGAGTAACAAGCATCTAATTTCTCTGAACATTGTAACCCCATGATCACACATTATGGTCACGAGAATAACAGAAATGGTCGCCAACTAATTAATTCTCCTTATCAGCACCTTGGGAAATGTATAGAGAACAGTATGGAGAATATGCATATTGATGTTAAGGTGTAAAGGGATAACAAAGACTTTGGTTTTTCAGACGTTAAAACATATAACAGGGCGCGACAAGTGGTTCCCTTACGACATCTCCTGTAACTTGATCAGGAGTGCAGACCACACCCGTATACACCAAGATTGTGAGCCACATGAAGATGAATGGACATACCTGATATATCTAACACCAAACTGGACAAAGAATGACTATGGAGAAACAGCTTTCTATGAGACAATGACAAATGATAACGAGATTATCACTGAGGTGCGACCAAAATACGGAAGGGCTGTTGTCTTTCAAGGTACTGAAATATAACTATGTTGATTTTTGTAATTGTTTTGGTGATGGATGTCAGAGAAGGGCTAAATTACACAAGGAGTAAAATTATGTGCAATGCGTGTCTGTTGTTTTTATTAAGGGATGTAGAAGTTTGGAGAAGAAAGATTTAAAGTAAAAAGAGGAAGTGCTTTGCATCGGTTCCACCTCGGGCGGTGAAATAGCTCATGATACAAAATCAAATTTTTGCCAGAGAATTCTGTGTTGTAATAGGTTAATTATTTGATCTCTGATGCATAATGAACAAACTGTAACAAAAAGGTCAATTTTTTTATCAAAATCCTAAGTAGTTTATAGTATAATATGTAAATGGTCAAGTCTGGCCAGGAAACCAATTTGCCGCTCTAGGAAGAGCTTATTCCGGTTTCTTAGTCACTCAAGCCCCAGATTAATGGGAGGCAGGAGCCCATGGGCTCCTGTGGGAGGTTATGTTAGGCCCCTTTAGAAAGTTTTTATCGTTAATCTCTACCCAATACATTAAACCCGCGATTTCACCAAAAATATAAGGGCTGAGATGGGTTTAATTGAAACATACTTGCGGAACAAAATTCTAGTTTTATCGGGGGTGGGTATAGGTTTAGATATTTCAATAAGTACTCTATGATTTTCATAGAGGAGTACCCTCAGGGGTTTGAGTCACCGTAATGATTCGATTTAGCACCCGTGGCGCTTATTTACTTACTGTATGATACCTTTAGGGTCGGCACTTATCCGAAACAGGGTACTTGTTAGGGACAGGCACTTATTTTTATTATTATTATTATTAATGTGTGGAACAAACTTTTGACTTTTTTAACGAACAGTTGCAGAAAATGTAAACGTAACAAGTATTTAGTGAACGTTTTCGCATAATAATGGTAGAAGGTGTACTCGAGTAGTGTTTTCACTAAAACAAAATAGAGGCGCTTATTGGTAGGAGAGTGCTTCCGAAATAGGGTCGCTTATCAGAGTAGGGGCGCTTATTAACAGAAAAAAATTCAAGGAAGTCGCTTGTTAGAGAGGGGCACTTATTGAATCGAATCAGTTACTGTATTGAAAGTTAACTGAACAAACAAGTAACAGCTGTTTTAGGTGCTTCAAAAAAACACTTTCGATAACTAGCTGTGTATTCCCTTTGGCCCCAGGAATCATTCCTCATTCAGCAAGGCCGCCCAGTACAAACCAATCACATGCTCGCCTCACCTTTGTAGCTAAAGTGTCTGTGGATGAGTTTGTGGGCCGACACAAGGCATTCAGAGAGGAAATGAGGCACTATCAGGGTCTGGTGGAATCAGAGAGTATGCTAGATGCAATGGAACGAGGACTAGGTAAACTATCATAGACTATAACTGTTCAAACGAGTTCTCCTCTTTGGTACGCTCACTTTCACGTAAGATTCCTGTCTTGAGCTTGATGTTTGAAAGAATTCCCCTCGCTCTAATGAGAAACCTCTGTATAAGTAGCAATTTTAGAGTTCTTCTTCTTGTGAAACAAGATGTACTTGTATTTTTAAACATTGTCACAATTATTTCACGAAACTCGCACCATACATCGACCGGCTTAGATCGGTTTTTCTCGAAATCGCTTGCGGGGTGCCACTGTCACGCTCACTTCCCGTTTCCGTTCAGACAAACCTGTATTTTTAAATCGTTTCCATTTTGAATATCGTAGGCTTTCAACTAAAATAATGCGTACTGCACATGGTAGTCTTATAAAGGGAAGACTACACAGAAGAATTTGGTGACTTGCTTTTTTTCCTTTAGAAAAGCTTTAGTAAGCCCAACCATGACTTGGCCTAACTAAGTCGCCCGCTTTGATAAACTTCCTTCTCTGATAAACCTAGACCACAAGCAGTCCCTCTTTTTCGACAAAGTCCATCGTGCGAGTAAAAATAAAGTCAATGAAAAAAAAAATAGACGTTAGTGCGCCTCGCGTAACCCTGGGAGTGAGGCGGACCAAAAGTACTTACTCTTGCTTTTTTACTCGTGCGACTGACTAGGGACTTCTTCTTGTTTACAATACACCTTCCCCCTCCCCCTCGCATGCGTTATAGGCAATTTGCGAGTTCTCATGGGTTCCTTGTGATATGTTCCCTCGTTCTCATTGGCCGTCTGGATTACTCTCAGTTAGTTTTGATTGACAACATCCCTTTGAAATTCGCTCAATATTTATTTTCTCGTTTGGTTAGATTTTGACCCAGAAGCTGAGGAAACCGAGCCTCGTGATGAGATGTCAGACGACAGAGGAGACTCAGAACCTGACGATGAAATGGAAGAAGAGGAAGAAAATGAAGAGGAACCCATCAAGATAGAAAAAGAAGCTGAAGAAGGAGTTATACACGAGGAGCAACCAGACCACCCAGTCCTTCAAGAACTAAACTCGCGTCTGGACGCAGTCGCGCAAAGTGGGGGCCTGGATCAGATGAGAAATCTTCACCGAGAATTACATGCAAGACATGTCACGGCACGACGAGAGGCTGTAAAACGAATTACAAATCTTATCTGAGGTATAAAGAAGTTTGGTAGTGTAAATATGGAAATAAACACAACGTAGTATCAACGGTGAAAGTGTTTTGGTTGACTGACGGAAAGTGAACATGTGTTTGTAAGTAACTCAGTCAAGCTGTGTCTTACGAAGATAGACGTTGAATGGCCGAAATCGAACAGTAAAGTCGAAATCAGGCGGAACTTTCCGAAATCGGACGAAACTGAAAAATGCACTCGTTTACAGCCAATCAGACACGCGTGATTTTTTTCATGTTCATAATTAAACTACCAACAATTATTTCTCTAATGGACGCTTTTTAGTTGACTAAAGTTTCACCAAATTTTGAAATATTCCTTAACAAAAGTTTTATGGTCGATAAAATTCTTTTGCGAACCGAAATGATTTTAATGCTTATAAAATAGTGATTGAAGATGTCTAGGTAGTTTTTCCAGACATTTTCTTCGTTCTTGTTTAGAAAGCTAGTTCTTTCTTGGGATACTTGAAAGCGCTAGTATTATATCTAGTAACCAGGCCTTTTTCTAACTGAAGTGGGACCGCGCTCGGTGCCATGGAGATGTTACTCCCTTACTTGAATGTTGCCACCACAGGCAGACTACACTACGTGTTTATAGTTAATAATTGTTGACATGTGACGACAAAATCTATTAGAGTTATGAATAAAATTGCATATCTAAATTACTTCTCGGTCTGATTATCTCAACAAACGAATCTGCAAGCGATCCTCGCAGTTATGAACACTACTTGAGTAGTTGTGAAAATAAAAGGCCTGAAAAAAATTCAGGCCTGTCGAAAACGTGAAAAAGCTGTGCCAAGTTTCCCTATTAAGTCACGAGTTATTCACTTGATTTAATGATATTACAACAGAGTTTCGGTTAACCCCCACTCACAGCTCTTGGCTTATTCGAAAGAGACACACACCAAACGTCCCGTTATAAGCACGTGGAATAGTGTAATATTCCTCCCTAGGAATTGTTATTCATGAGATGGTAGTAAGGTATGGAGAATCGCTCTGGCCGGGAAAGCCCAAGCCAGGCGAAGGGGTGATGGTGAGACGGATCAATCCGACCGGGGGTGGGGTGGGTGGGAAAACGCTTCGATGCGCAGAACACAGCCCAAGGCCTCAAGTGAAGTGACAAGGAGTGATACAAAACAATCTATTATATCCAAAATCCCTAGGGACTAATTACCAATGCTAATTGAGTTAGCATAGTGCCACATATGGGACGACAAAGCACGTGCCACATACATGTTTGGTTATGTACAGATAAACGAAATCACGTATCGTACAGTTTCCAACAGGCCCGTACGGCATTAAACCCGTCATGGCTTCAAATCCTATGGAAGTCATGGGGTCTTATTTTAATTTTATTTTACACAAAGAGATACCGGCTACCACTCAAGCGAAACGGCTGAAATAATTTGAATATTTAAGTGTTGGTTGAACAACGAGTCGACAGGAATATTTATTTACGAACTTTGATCAACGAGTCCCAGATACAGAGCGGCTGTTAGTTACAGCAGTAAAATGGAAAGTAAAGGAAAAGGAGAGAAAGCCTCTTTGGTTTCTTCACCGAATTTTAAATCCACTTTGTGCCATCCATCGAAACTCGCTTTCAAAGCGTACTTTCTCTTCTTCTACGCCGCCGTTGGAAGCTACTTTCCGTATTTGATGCTCTTTTTTAAGCAGCTGGGAATGAGCGCTGCAAAGGCTGGAATTCTGAGCGGAGTTAAACTGTTCTCTGAATTTATCGGCGGGCCGTTCTGGGGAACAGTCGCTGATAAATTTAGAATTCGAAAGATCATTTTATTCGCGTCTCTTGTGTCATTTTCTTCAGGAATTTTATTGTTTATGCCTTTTCCACCGAGAAATCAAGAGTGTATCGAGACAAGAGCGAACGGTACAGTGATCGAAACACCGCTGAGTTTTACCACAGGAGAAATACGATACGATAAAAGTCATGAAGACGAGGAACAAAGCGAGGAAGATGGCGGGTTTCTCAACCATGCAGGTCATTCAAATTTCACCCGTCGTATCGACGAAACCGAGATTTCACAGATATTTACAACTTTTTTAATTATTACCATTAGCAGTCAAATCGTCGGCTCAGTAGTATTCAATATGCCTGATGCGTTGGTCGCGGGTTTCCTCCAAGAGGGCATCAGTACGTTCGGATACTATCGGGTATGGGGCGAAGTTGGAGTCGCTATTGGTTCGTTCGTTGTCGGAGGTGTCATCAACTTTTACCAGTCGGAAGTGTGTGGCGAGATCGTGAAAAACTACTTCGTTTTATTTTATTTTTTTGCTGGGTTTATTTCATTAGCGATGTTCACCCTAATTTTCCTTGAGGCGACATATCCGGATGAGGACACTAATGATTCAAACTTGTGGCTTTTAGTAAAAGAACTTATGCTCTTTCATAACGCCATGTTCGTGGTTGTAGCTTGCTTCTTAGGCGTCCTCGTAGGTTTAAACGAGTTTTTCGGTCTGTGGTACTTAGATGATCTGGGAGCAGAACCCTACATGTTGGGCCTGGCTTCCGGTTTGCGATACACAGTCGCCACATGCGGGTACACTCTCTCTAGAATAGTTATAGACAAATTCGGACACACATGCACCATAGCAGTCTGCTTGCTGCTCTACATTGTTGATTACATGAGTATGTCGTTCGTTCGGAACCCCTGGCTGGGCGTGGCACTGTTTAGCGCTCAGGGCTTCTTATACGGAACCAGCTGGTCTGCCTGTGTGGTTTTTGGTGGTACTGTGTCACTGCGAGTTGGTTTTTATTCAGCAACCCAAGGTAAGTGAATCAGCGACTGGAGTAACTTTGAGTGTAGAAGGTTACCTAAGATTGGGTTTAGTTTTAATTCATAAGATTACCTTAGCAACGACACAGCTTCTCGGAAAAAATCGTCATTTTAGCGGCATGTGCTTGAAACTGGATAACGAGTTTGGCGACCACATTTTAATTTTGCTCAATTGCAACTAAAAAAAAAATTCGTCTTAATCCTTTAACTCCCAGATCAAATTTTTAATTCTCCTTACTGTCAACCATACAATTCTTAAGATGTCAGTCCAGAGAATTTAGTATTGGATCAACTAATCATCCCCAAATCGACATGTTTCTTTATTTTTATCACTTTTCTGGTTGATCCTATATTGATATTGTAAGGAGAAATTCTGTCTTGGTCAGTCATGGGAGTTAAAGGGTTCACGCAGAGTTGAAAATTACCAACAGTTCAGAGCCACCTCAATAATTCTGATATCATTTTCAAGGAAACGAACGCACAAGTATGGTAGTATTTAGAAATCAAAGAATCTGGCTTTATATAAAAATAACGAAGCACGCAAAATGGCTGTGACATCCTTGTTCCCAGGGCCCTCTCTCTTCCTCCCTAGAAGGAGAAAGAGAGAGGACCCTGGGAACGAGGTCAAACAGTTTCGTGCTTGGCATGCGCATGCCTTCGTTTCTAACTTCATATTTCTTTGCCATCAGGCGTCCTTGGCGGAGTTTACTGGGGCTTAGGAGTCGGCACAGGTGTTCTTCTCAGCGGTGTTCTGATAAACTGGCTCGGCGTTGCCAAGACCTATTTTGTTTACTCTGTGGTGACATTTATAGTTTTAGTTCCTTTTTCACTGGCTAACTTTTGGATCAGATCGAAGGATGAGAGAGGGAACAGTGACCAAGAATATAATTTATTGGCGAAGGAGACAGAGGAAAACCACTGATGACACTGAAGTGCTTAAAAGTTCTTACACCAAAAGCGTGTCGAGGTATCGCCAACTTACACCTACCCGCAAGTTTCTTACGTCTGTCGAAAAAAATTTCCGCTACTACAGCGCCACTACGACCTTGACTGACTTTTATTACTTTTTTTTAATCATCTTCTTCTCTTTAAAGTTCAGGAAGTAAACTAAAGCTATAATTATATCACCATAGCGTGAGGTTCTGGTCGACATGTCGCTGATACGCGCTAATCTACTACATAAGTGTTCTGGGCATTGTCCATTTGAGCATTTGTAGAATAAGCATAATAAATTTAGGTAGTCAGTCCAGTCTCTTGCATAGGGTTGCGGTACGTTGGTCTCTCGTTTTAAGGCTTAAAATAACACGAGCTGCTTTTTTCTGAAGACGAAAAATTCGTCTGTTACATTTTAGGTGTGTTATGAAAAAAATTATGCGGTCGTTTAGGGGAAGAAATAGTCTGATCGATCTAAGAAGACCTATACGTTTTGTCAGTTTCCGACATAGTTGTTCAGCATATTCATTAAAGCTGAGGTCTTGATCGACATAGACTCCAAGTAACTTGTGACTTGTGGCGTTGTCTAACTCTTCCCCTTTACTGGTAAAGATTCTCATCTTACTGACACTAGTACCACCGATTTTAGTGCGTAGCCTAGTTCCAGTTGCAAACCTAGACTAGGCTACGCACTAAAATCGGTGGTACCAGTGTCAATAAGATGAGACTCTTGGTTTGGTTATCGAAAAAAAATCTCAAGTCTTGAACCAAAATAAAATTGGCATGTGTACACGAAATACTTGCAAAAAGAGAGAACGAAAGAATACAAATACTTTTAAAAAAATTCACTTAAATTCTTCATTTTACATGTACAAACTCAGAAAACTTGTACCGAGAAATGAATTACACACGCAGGAAAATAAAGTACATATTTTCTCTTACACTGCAGGGAGCGTTCTCTTGCTTCTTGAAACTAGGTAATGCATCATAGAGTTTAAAAACACGCACACGCAGCTATAGTATAGACTACGGGCAAACCCTTTTTTTCGAAGAGGTCCGTCGGGCGGGTCAAAAAATATCAACGAAACAAAATGGATGTCAATGCGCCGCGCAGAACTCTGGAAGTGTGGCGCACGAAAAAGTAGCCTTTTCAGAGTTCCGCGCGGCTGACCTAAATTTTTTTTTGGCCGATTTTTTTTCCATCGTGCGTCTTCGAAAAGGAGGAACTGCTCGTCTAAACATAGCATAAATGATCCTCTTAAAAGCGCAATTTTTCCCAATCAGATAAGTAACAACTGCGGCTGCTTAGGGGTACCGTTAACACTCACAAATTTTTCCCAACAATAAGTTTATTGTTTCCCAATCAGCTTGTCAATTAGATAAACAACGTCGCTTAAGAGTACTGTTAACACTCCTAAATTCATTCGAAAATAAGTTCGCAAGACAAGACTATCCTGGTCATCTTAATTCTACGAATAAAATCCTATAGTACTTTGTAAAGTCTTGATGCCAATGAATGTTCTTTCACGAACAAGCTCAGATCTCAATCCTAACAGATTCTCCAGAACTGGCACTCCCCATTAAATCTCTAGACACTAGAAAGTCCAGTTCACGATTTTTTCGCTCCACTACGTAGCATTTTGATTTTCGGAGGCAAGAACAGTCTGCAGAACCGTTGCTGTACTTTCTGCAATGAGGCAAACTAGGGGTTTGGGCGGAATTTGGATGGCGAAACGATAATTCAAGACCACTACTATGACGGGAAATACCAATATTAATGTTGTCCGCCGACCTTTTATGTGCACTGTTACCATTTGACCATCTTGAGTCTTTGCTTTCTCTTCCCAATCCCTTTTCAATTACTTTCTGTCGACTTCCGTCTGTCATCGAGTCAATAAGATCCAAAATGTTTTGGAAATGGTTTCCAGTCTCTCTCCAGATTGTGGGTTTTGAGTGTTGAAAGACCGCTCCGTTATTGTTTAAAGAGGCGCACATTTCCGATTCTTGTTCGAACATTTCCAGCTCTTCTGGATTAAAGTCGAGAGGCTTGATACATGACGTGGGACCAAACAGAATCTGAAATGCATTTTCTTGTTCGCCATCCTCGTCAACTAAGCTATCCGATAACCAGAAGCTGCCGTGATTTGCACTCGCGGTGGCTGTTACGAGGAAAACAGTTGATGTTACAAATTCTGGAACATAATTGGCCGATGCGAGTGAAATAATGGTTTATAACCTACGGCTTTCGTACATAAAAACTTACTTCCCTTTTTTCAAAATTTCATGACTTTTAAAAGGTAACACTTCCTTAGCATTACATAATTGTATCATCTTTCACTTGAAAACTTGCTTTGATCTATCACGTCCCCATTTTAGATAAAAATAATTTTTCTTATCGCCAATACTATCAATTTTCCTTTCAAAAATTGCCATTAAGTTAGTGCAGAGAAACCAGTTTGAATGGTGAACGTTTTCTTAGCTCAGTCTTGCAAGTGGCAGAATAGATTCGTATTTCTTTACATTGCTGCACATGGCTCTGTATCACACTGTTGTTTAATCACTTAAACTAGTCTCTGGCTGGGGCTAGCTCGAAATCTCTAGGCTCCAATAATAATTAAACTATGCTTTAAAATTTTGCGTGTTACCAAGTTAACTGTAAACAATTTTACTTTATTCCAATTTAATACCATTCTTATGAACAATGAGAGATTCGTTGTTATTGTTGTTAACCCTTTAATGTACGTTATCATCCAAACAGCTCAAAATTTATAAAATAACACATAACTTACAGTTTAGAGTGTGGGACCGTGCGCGTAAAGACCTTTGCCTGCGACAACATTTTGCCCCAGGCCACTTGAGAGCGCGGATGTAAGCTCGTCTGAACGGGAGCCACATGATCCCGTACAACGCAGGATTCAGTAAACCACTGACCATTGGTATCTGGGTCGCACACAATCCAAAAAGAGAAGGATATCCAATTGAAAAAATACCAAGACATAAAGCTACCTAAAAAAAAAAAGAGAGAAAGAAGGTTTCTAAACGAAGAGAACGAAATAATGAATCTACTTTTTATATTTACATATTTATTGATTTCCCAGACCGATTTCTAGTTCATGAATATTTGAAATATGTATTCGTTGATGAGTTCAAATGAACGCTATTGATCCCTTTAAGAAGTCGTTTTAATTATTGCGACTGTACTTTCAAGAGTTCCGAGCTTTATTTCTGAACCTGCTCATATCTGCGAGGCCTACGAAAAATCTCCCTCCTGAAGTTTTCACTTAATATGATCCATTAGTTCATAAATTTAATAATGATATTTAAACAAAAAAAGGTAAGTAAGTCGTGCGGTTACTTTATAATCTCAGGTAAATGGTGCTTTTCGCGCGCGCTGATTGGCTATTTCGGAAGTGAATAGCAAGTACTATTCATCTCCACTTCGTTGAATAATTATTAATTTTTCTGTTAACGTATTGCAAAAACGAAATTATATTTGAGGAAAGGGGCTTATAAAGGAAAACACTGGTTATTATCATTTAATCGAACGACCTAATGAAGTCTTATGTAGTTTGTATGTATTCTTTCACAATCGAATATTTTTGGAAATAAGTAAGAAACGTTTTATTCAAAGAGAGACTTTCGGCATTTCTTTATCGACACAAAGTTATACTAAAAAGAAACTTTAAATGGTGAAGAAGTAAAAACTAAAAAGGAAAACGGATTTTGCCAATACTTACCATCCATGGAAGAAGAGAACAGAAATAAATTACGACTACCAATACAACCAGGCGAGAAAACTCTTTCGAGCTCGCGATAATGTCTTTCTCTGCAATAAGCTGTCTCGATGAAATATCCATGTTCTCATGTTTTGCATTCTTTGTATCGAAAGATTTCTTGCCAGCCATACCAAATATTGCATAAAAGCAAAAACAGCTGATCATCAACAAAAAACAGTGAAGCAGAACAAAAAATTGCGCGAAGGGACTGTCATGGGGGAATAAACAAAACAGCCCTCCGGAATCGCTGGAAACTTGAAAACCTTCAAGCCACAGCAGAGGCCATGTAGCAAGAAACGTTGCACTGATCCAAATGCCGAAGAATATTATGATAAATAATTTTCCTTTCCAGTGTTTGTGGTAAAACTGTGGCAAAGTTGTCACAAAAACTCTATCTAAGGTTAAGACGAAGACTAGTATTGTCGCTACGATGCGAAAGAACACCATTAGCCAGGCTTGAACTCTGCACAAGGTGAAAAGATCTTTCAATTCGCTACTTTTGTCCAAAATCGCGTACAAAGCAATTCCGTTAGGCCCGAGTACGTTGAAAACTTCCGTGAACGAAAGAGACACGATTAGTAAAGTGTACGTGTTTTTTCTTCGGGTGAATTGTAAGATGCTTACGATCGTGAACGAGTTTCCCACAAGAATAAGGACAGAACAGACAAACAGGACCACAGCAAGCGAGATGTGAGCCTCTGCAGTCTCAGTTGGTAATTCTCGGTCTCCATTTGTGCTTATGAGTGCCATGATGTTGAAGTTCTTGGCGATGAAGCTAAGTTTAATTTTGCAGATGATCCAATTCTTCTGTAGAAATATATTTGCAGATGTTGTTTGCACCTTCAGACAAAACAAATATTACAAGCTATGAGAACAAATATCTTACTAGCGCAGAAAATCGATAAAGAAACTCGGCTATTTTCTACGTTACTTACTAAATACCCTTAGCAAGTACTCTTGGTGATGTGAAAAATAACCTTGAGCTTGAATAAGTGAGTCTCAATGCCGAGATATTGCTGCGATTTTCATAATATCATGATTTTTTACGGAATTTATTGTTGTTGTTTTTTTATCTGCGGTTTTATGTGCGAGAGTTTCTGGTTGGTCGATAAAGTTTTCATTGTGATAATATACAATACAAAATTCCGTTGATAATCTGATAAGTACAGACAGATGAGCTGTCATTGTGGTGAATTCATCAGCAATTTCTTCTATGCTGTCATACTCTGGAAATTACGAAATCTGTGTTTTCCGGAGCGAAACATCCGCTTAGAATCGAAAAGATTAAAAAATAAAGCCTTGCTTTCCTGTGGAACAAAAAGATAAAATTCAGCGACGTTACATTTTACATGAAAATTAATAAATAATTACGTAATGACGTATTGCGAATCTTGAGTAAAATTTGCGTTTAATTTGTGAAAAATAATAGATATTTCCCCCCTGCTTATGCTGGTTTTCTTTTTAAGAGCTCATAAAATTTAATTTATCTTGTGGGGAGTTTTTATAACTCGTTATGGTGCGTTCGTTTAACTCAGTCCGTACTGTCTTCGTGATAAAACTTTATTCAAATAGCACTATTTCTATCGCTAGACAATAGCGCTTTACAATGACTGAAATAAACACAAAGTGCTTGAAAATCCCAACTGGCAGGAGGCAGAGCAGTTTATTATTTTCGCAGTGCAGTCGAGGAGTTGAACTCGAGGCGACTGAGAAAAAATCCAGTAAATGGCAGGGTAGAGGACTTGAACCCGGGACCACTAGTTTACAAGTCCAGCACCCATACCACTCGGCCACGAAGTTAATTCATAAAATTTGGTATTAGATTAACTAATAATCCTATTATTGATATCTTTCTTTGTTTTCGCCTCTTGTCTGCTTGCTATTGTATTGATATTGTAAGGAGAAAATCTGTTTTGGTCACTCATAGAAGTTAAAGAGTTAAGAGAGATAATGACTGCAATAAGAGGTAATTTGAAATCGTTAAAATGTAAAGCAAGCTGAGATGAATTTGCAAAATTCTCAATTATTGACTTTCAATTTAATTCATAGTTTCTCTAATCGAGGACTCGTCTTACCGCGACAAAGAGGGCGAAAAAAATGTCGGCACACTCCCACATGCTAATGTTGTGGTTTGACCTTTGTCAAATTTCCGCTTTCCTTTATCTGTTTTATACTCACTACCGAACAAAATGAAGGGTTAAAATTTCCATTCTCCCTCCCTCCCCCCATTAAAGTTTCCTTCTTCCCTCCCTACCCCCTTCAATTTCCCTTCCCCTTCTCTCCCTTAAATCCCCCCCTTAAATTTTTAAATTCCCCTTCCCCTCCCCCTTAAATTTCCCTTCTCCTCCCTCGCCCCTCAATTTTCCCTTCCCTCCTCCCTCCACCTTAAAGTACTGTCGCTGCACACATTCATTTGTCTCGGATAACCACGATTGGTGACTCTTTTGACCCTAATATCAGCATGGATATATGGTTATTCCCTTTACAACATCTCCAAGAGTACTGAAAAGGAGAATTTGTTTAACAATTGATAGCTTCTTTAGTCGGTGATCATTTTCTTTATTCTCATGACCTTGATGTCTGATTCAGGGGTGATATTGTAAGGAGAAATTAGATGCTAGTCACTCTTGATTAATAAGGTGAAAGGAAGAATAACGCATGTCATAGAACGACTTGGAAACTTATTTTCCTACCCGTAAACAGACATAGAAAGTCTTTAAAAATCTAGATCGCATTTTTAAAGAATTGATTTTTATATTGAGGTCGTGAAGTTTCATACTACGAAGACAAACGTGTAGAAGAATATATGTCTTCTCAGAACTGTCATCTGTGAAAGTTTAGACTAGTTCCCAGGCCGTGCGTTACTTTGTTGTCCGCGCGATATCTTCTAGGAATGGGAATGGGAGAAAGAACACTTCCTCGACAAGTGGGCCCCAGTAAGTTTTCTGTTATATTTTCTAATATATTCAAGTATTTGACTTGAATATGTCAAAATTGAAGTAAAGTAAGGCCAAGCAAAAGAAATACGCTGAGAACTGGTTTGTCAATTTTGTAAATACACATACATCCACTCAGCCATTCTATTTACAATATTCAACATGAAATCGCCATGCACTAAAATCTGTCAACTTTGCACAAAATCAGCAGGTTTTTTAGCCTATTTTTACCATTTGCATTCAATACCACCGTTTCCTTTCAATTTTTTCTTCACCATTGGAGACAAAACATCCTCAAATGAGGGAAATGGCCGATAACATCAAACAAGGGCCTCTTTTTAGCTTAAAACTAGATTCGCTGCATAAAAAGGCTTAACGATTCTAAACGCAATTGGATTTTCAGTATCTTGTCTAGCTCATCCATTATAGGTCTTGTGAAGGTTCATGGGGTCCAAAATCTTCACCAACAACAAATCAATCACTCTCCCCAAATCTCCGCCAACCATCATTGGTCTTGTGTTTGTTAGCTGCGTTCCTTTTTGGACAGAAGAAGTGAAACTAAATTGGCATTAGACTTCTAAAGTCATTTATCTACAGCACGCTGTCATAACTTTCATCCAGCGGTGAATATTCTCCATTAATCTTCTTTATGTCTTCATCTTCGCTCCGTAAAGAAGTTTGCAATGAACTGGTATCTGGACTTCTCAAGTTAGCATTGCCGTCTTCAACCAAGAGAAACGCATTTGATGCTCTTTCCTCTGCTTCATTATCCACTTTGTTGTTGACTTCAAATCGTACGCCGGCTCTTCTCGTTGAAGATTCTTCTTTAGCGCCCTTAAATCCGCCATCTTGAAATGCAGCATCAATGCTATGTCTGGCATTGCAGGAAGTACCTGCTGTCGAGTTTCTTGCAATTTTCGAAGCAGCGCGACGTGTACCGTCTGTGAGAGAAATTGTGACAAATATAACAGATTAGAAAGATATGTGACAAACAAAGAATGGCCTCTCACGCATGCGTCATTTGGTATTATTTCGTCACGCAACACCTCTCAGAGTGTGACAACACTAAACAATAACTGCAAAGGGGACTAAAATAGTGGTGAACTAAAGTTCATTTTCACCCAGGTGTAGACCAAGAGACTGCAATGTTGGATAAATCTATTTGAAAAGAAGGCCACATATCAATTCAAAACGCCTTTCCTCTTTCCTCTTCCACTCCAACTTCCTTCATGGAGCAGTTCAATAATGCTGGCTGACAGGTGGGGTACCCCTGCAGAAACATCAACAACTTGACTTATTCTAAAAGGGAGAAGCGACAAAGTTTGCGATGGTCATATCCATCTAAAATTTGGAAATTTGAAAGAATATGCTTTATTTTATACTTCTAAAAACGAACGAACTTCTAAGAATCGTTTGATGAGAATCTTACCAAAGAATGAGCCGTCGGGTTTTGACGCACCACACAAAGATAATATTTTCCTGAAGATGAAAATGTAACCCTGACGGTATCGCAGGCTCATTTTCCCGTACAAGATGGGGTTGATGAGCGCGTTTACAAGAGATAGCATGCCAACTAAGATAACTTGGGAGTGGTTGAATTTCCCTGTTACCATACTGTAGAGGTTTATTAACTGAAAAAAAAAAACAATAAATAATAATTAATATTTGAGACACCTAGTCAACACTGTGGTGAAACGTCTGTGTATGTGCAAACATTGTAATGACAAGGTAGCATGCTTTCAGGCCGTCATAACCAAATTTTCTCACACGGGTAACAAACAACTACACATGTCGGTAAGTCATGGTGTTTCATAATCGTTTAACGTTTTTGGCAACCTTATAATAGAGTGGTAAATCAACAGAATACCCGTAATTGAATAAGCTTCGTTTCCGAGAGGTCTAAAGTAATTCCTTTGTAGAGAGAAGGGTCCCTTCTTTCTACAAATTTCTACGAACGTTTCAATTATCTTTCCCTTATTTTGCGAGACAGCGGTTGTTGTTATGTTTTCCTTTGAAATTTTGCGCGGGAAATTGACGCGCGCAACCAAAATTGATCGCGCATGCCTAACGTTTGACTGCTACGGTTCTGTGTTACTTAATTATGGGTTTACATGACTGATTATTTGATGGACGCTGTTCAAACTCAAGACCATTATCTCGTAAATTGAACTTCTAACTGCTACTTTCGCTTAATTAACTGTAATATCTTTGCAAACCCTGGCACATACATAAAGTCATTTATGCTTTCGATTCAAACTGCATGAAGTTATCTTGTTTGGTATTGACCAAACACCAGTGGGGTTGGTCAACAAGCTTTGTCAATGCCCAATTCCCACAACCCAATGAAACAATGAAGCGGACACGAAAAGTTAAGATTCTAATAGTCTCATCTCAGGAACGGGAGGCATGGTTGTTTGAGAAATACTAAGCTTTTCTTTCATGTCAATCATATCGATCGATGCAATCAGTCAAAAATTAGTGCGTTCAAATCACTTTTTTCAAAACATGCGCGGTATCGCAAGTAAACAGCGGAACGAAAATGTTTTTATTGAAAGAAAAAAAATCGCTATCCTAACGCCCTCCCAAAGCTACAAAAGGCAAGGAAACATTTTTTGAAGAATGTTCTTCGCCTTCGCTTTCCAAATTGTCGCAATCTTTCAACACATACTAGTTCGATTACAGCTGATTATTGTTTATCAATTTGTTTTCATTACGCAATGCCTGAATTAAGCTGCAATGAACTCAATACGCAATTGGAGGAAATAATTTGTTCTCTTTCGATTGATGGGATTAAACCTTCCAGAGAACGAGAGATTTTGGAAGGAGTGATTCAGTTACGAAAGCTAACTTGCTAGCTAACTGCAAGCCCACAAAGGAGAAAAATGAGAAGCTAGCTAAAAGACTGGTAAAGAACTTGAAAACTTTAAAACATGGCTGAGAAAGCAACCAGGTAAAGTCGGTAATCCCTCCATTGTTTTATAGAACTATACACAATGCTAGGCTGAAGAAAAGACAAAATTAAGTGATTCGAATTAATATGTTGGAAGCCGTCGTCAGGTGAAACGAAACGATTGGTTTCCAAGGTGCCATTGACGAATTAGGACCATTGGAATTAAAAGAATTTCAGATTACTAAGCGTTTACTCTCATTTTTCAAAAGGTAAATATTTGCTTGTTGAATGGAAGTTGAAATGCTTTTATGCAAAACATTGGAGACTATAAGAGTTATTGCTGGAACCGTGAATAATTTCATTACCACAATTAAGTTCCAAGCTTTCAGGGCTGAGGAAAGACGACACACAATTTTCCATGAAATGAAGTTTTTGAAACAACATCTGCTTGCTTTCGTCGTGTTTATTCCTTCTGTTAGTTAGCTTTGAACATCGAATTCAAGCAAAGTTTATCGAAACCCATTAAAGCGAGGGAAACAAACGATGTGATCCAATGTCATCGACCAGAAAGCAATTAATACTCAACTACAAACAGTAATTCATTTTACACTGGTTCACATTTCTCGACTGTCGCTGACGAGTTCATATAAACGTGATAAACATATGGACACAAACGGGAAAATTTTCTTTTCAAACACTTGTTTTGGAAAACTAATTACCAATCGACAAAACTGTAATCATCTGAGGGAAACGTAAGATATTTTTGTGTGCACAGCTTTATTAGACCATCCATCCGCTGTAATTGGAATTGAAATATTCAGTAATTTTTGTGTACAAATACGCGTCTTTTGAAATGCTGCCAGACTGAATTGTTTTCAAATATTTTCAGGGTTTTTGCTGCAACATGAGTAAATCTTCAATTAGCATTGAGGCAGGTCTAAGGATTGTTATTTTCATAGGAATCTAGTGGTAATGTTCGATTTAAAAACACACACGGCTACATGCAAAAGACTCGCACGCACGCTCGGATAAACTTACCAGATAAGGTAACCAACTAATGTAATACAGCAACACCACCATGGCCATCATAGTGGACATTTGCTTTACTTGCCGTGTGCCAGCCGTTTCCCGCGCTTGCTTGTTTTTCCCGCCAGTTTGCCTGGAAGCCGCCATCGTCGACTGGCGCTTCACAAACCTGCTGCTTGATAACTTGATTGCAATAAAACAGATCAAGACGAGAATTAACTGCACGATACCAATGCTTTCAATGATGTAACCGTATGCCACTCCGAAATCGTACAGCTGGTAAAAGCAGAAGCCTTTCCGATACCCCGTTTTCCCAACCCCAATAAACGGCAAAATCGACATGAAAATAGAGAATAGCCAGATTGCAATGACAGCTACTCTCGCCCTCTCTATCGTAACGATGACATGATGTTGAAGCGGTCTTGTCAATAGAATAGCTCTGTCGCCAGATATCAGTGTTATTGTGCACACTGAGGCAATACGGAATGTATATGTCAGTATAACGAAAACAGCACATGAGGCTTCATTCCATGTCTCTGGACCAATAAAGTTATTCAGTACATTCAACATTTGCAGGGGTAACGCAGCATTCAGGGCATCCGCCACGGACAACGAAAACAACAACAGGTCGGCAATATTCCACGGCTTGTATAAACCGAGAGTTGTAATTATAAAGAAATGTCCACAAATCAGAAGTAAAATCACGACTTCTACAATCAGTCCCAAAATGGGATTTACTTGAAAAGGCACCGTTGGAACGCTTGGTGTCGCATTAGGGAAGAAATCGGAGGCTGGAGAGGACATTACTAAAGTTGCGTCGAGCTTTCCAGTACGATATCTCGGCGAAGGAGTTGAGTAATAAGTTGTTCAAGATGTGTGAAGCCCAATTGAAAACAATTACTCTCTACGGGGGCTTTGCGCGCCCGATCACAAGAACCAGATTCTTTAAAACGGTCTTTAGCGGCTGTCCCGTTTGGGAATTGTCTCCGCTGACACGGATCCAAGCGACATGTACTCAATATTATCAAGTAAATGATAAATTCTTTCGAAATAGATACCTATATTGTACAATGTTTGCTCTCTTCGCTTCTCTTGACACCGCAGTTGTTTACTTTGTAAAACTGTCTCGCTAGAAATTATTAAATACCGCCAAGAAATCTAATTTAAAAAGTTAATTAATTTCAAGAAGTTAATTGAATCCACGCGGTTTATTTTTCGCCCAATGCTAAATAGGCTTTGACGAGCTTATTTAGTAGAAATGTTTAAAAACAAGTCAATGCGATTGTTTCAGATGAAGAGAAAATTGCCGCAATTTTTAGAACAAAGCAGGTGTTTTTTTCGACAGCCGTGGCAAGGTTAAAAAGCCGGTAATGCGCAACAAAGACACAATATTTAATTTTTTTTCTGTTCCGGATGGCTACCTATCTATTCAGCTTAGGAAGACAAGAAAAGTTTTCTTCTTTGCTTGCGGTTTTATGGCGCCGCAACAAGTCAAAATAAATACTGATCAATTTTTTTCAGCTCAAGCTAAGAGAATACATGACTCAAACGGCTCAAAAAACTTCCATAGATATTCTTCCTGCCATGAATATTCCACATATTTCCTGTACGTTTGACAGTTTATTTGCCATGTCAGATACGGAATGTAGGAAATGTTCTGATGCAATTTTGTTCTTTGTAAGTTGATACTTTGCCATCGAAATTTCAATTTCAAATATACTTTATCAGCACTTCGTCGGCTTTTAGCCCCTTGAAAGCTAAGCTTTTGCCGCTTTCTCGACTTCGCTCTTCGCCTTTCTCGAACGAAAGTCCTCGGCAGTTTCCGGAATTTCCGGAATTTAAGTTCCGCGACCGAGGGCATTGGGAATGAGATTATTAAATATGGCGGACGCGAACGAGTTGTAATTGCCTTTGATAGATTGTTAAATGGACAATGAGCGAAGATACAGAGGATAGAATTCTCTGCATGCAGCATTGTACTAATCAAATGAATATTTTCTTCTCAAAGTTTCCGGAGACATGTCCACTGTGTGGTAAATCACTGAAAGGTTGTTCTTTGATAATTCCGCCTTTCCGTGTTCCAAGTCCATTTTTGTCGCAAAATGACAGTTCGTGCTCTTTTGTGGTGAAGCCGACGAGGGGCTCTTTCTTGAGGTAAGAACTGAAACCCATTGTGGTAGGATTTCCGTATAATCTCTTACTATATATTCTAAAACAAAGCCGTAGACTCAAAGGCTATCCGCCATTATTTTCTTTATCCAAGAACTGTATGCATAATTAAGTAAGGGGCTGTACGGAAATCTTGTCCCTAATGTTTCATGAGATTAGTGCTTTTCTCCATGGGTATGGAGGGGTACTGGGAAACTACCGAGAGAATCTGGCCAAACACTAGAGGATGATTGGTGAGGGACAATAGTTGCAAACATCCCATCCAGGGAGCAAGTATCAATACTCGGTAAAGGTAAAGAATCCGATCCTATCGACGCGTCGGTCGACGTTTGCTTTGGAAAACCAAACAAGGTACATCTGGATGGATGGGCCACTTGGTATATCTTCAGACTTCTATCCCTGTGGGATCATTAGAGCATTAACACAAGGCCTGGTTTTCAAGTGAGCTTCTCAATTGCATCAACCCTTGCTCTCCCAAGATCTAAATAGAGATTCCTCTAACTGTCTGCCATACATTTCTTTTAGTGGTGATTCAGAGAATTTGATGTTCAATCAAATAACAGTTTCCTGATTGATATCTTTCATTATTCTTAACACTTGTCTGCTTGATATGATATTGATATTGTAAGGAGAAATGATGTCTTGGTCACTTCTGGGAATGAAAGGTTTAAAAAGTTGGATTTCCATAATGATCTTGTTGGTCACATGGAAAGAAGGCCTTAAAAAAAAATTGCAATTTTTTTCTAAGGGGGGAGGGGTAGTTACAGTCAAATTCTTTTGAGGCTTTGTTGAGAAGATTCTTCTTTTGTTTCATTCAAGGGTAAGATTTTTATTGATTAGAAATATATTTACTTTGCAGAGAATATAAAAGTGGAGATAATCTTCATGTTGGAATTACCTCCTCAAATGGAATGGTTTATAATTTTGATGAACTTGGGCTTCATGCAGATAGAACTGGCTGGGAACAGTGTCTTGTTGTAGGCATAACTGAAATTAAAGATTTTACTTCAGAGCTTTGGGACTCCAGACTAAAACAGATGTATAGCAGTAGTCTATGGACTCCAGAAGAGTATGTTTTATCGATACTATAGTTTAGGTATTGTTATCTTACAATGAGTTTTCTGGTGATATATTTTTTTTGGAACATAATGAGAAAACGCATTATGTCTCCTATACATGCATGAGTAATGGTGTATGTTACAAACAGTCACGTTTATTTTTAATCAGTTTCTTCATGTAACCTTTAGTCACACGTTGCAGTTTGGTTTGTACAGGACACACCTTGATTTTGTGGCTTGTTTTTGATTCATCTGTTTTATATCAAATGACTTGTATATAGTTTCTGACACTTCAAGACCAACATATACAATAAACAAGGTTCAATCGAGGATACAAGTTGTTCTTTTCTTTACAACTTTATGACAGTGTACATAACAATTTGTAGGTATTATTTATCAACCCTTCACATTCTAATATCAGTGTGGATTTTCTCTATACATTTCCTGAGGTACTGACAAGGAGAATTTGTTCAACATTCAAAGCTTCTCTAGTTGATCATTTCCTTCATTCTCGTGACCTTAATATGTGATTCAGGGGTGATATTGTAAGGAGAAATTAGATTCTAGTCACTTTTATGGGTCAAAGGGTTAAGATGAGGAGCACTGATCAACAGGCTCTGGTAGAAACCTTTCTTTCCTTGCATCTATCCAGCTGATAAAAAGACAAAAAAGATGAATACATTATTGGTAGTGATTTGAGTATAGTTTTGCATTTAAATTGATCTATAGTGTAAAGCCTTTGGTGAAAGTGAACTTTTTAAGCTACACCAAATTCTTTCCATGTTTTTCAAAGGAATAACTGACAGTTTTAAGGGAGAATCTAGTAGTCAATCAGAATTCACTGAAGAGTTCATTCCCTCTTACTGGTACCTCATCATTAAGAGTATTTTTTGATTATTATTTTTAGGTATGATGAACACAACAATAATTGCTATGATTTTGCTCTTGGCTTCCTGAATCAGTTTTTGCCAACAAATATGGAACCCTTCAAAAAGCTGGATTTTTGTAAAAATTATATTCTCCCATGGACTATAAGAGCTGCTCAGTATATTGATTTATTTAGACGAGTGCAAGATGCTGGTGGAGTTGCTGTGGAAAGGTGTCGGAGATGATGTCTGTGTTGTGATACTTATGAATTTATCAGGGGAAATGGAGGAATTATTGAATCATTAAACAAATGTTCTTCGTGTCAGTCTGATTTGTTGTGTAATTGCTTTTCAACCCTTTAACTCCCAGAAGTGATTAACATGTAATCTCTCCCTATAATTTACATACATTATCCAGCAAGCAGGTAATGAGAATACCTAAACTTATCAGGTGCAAGTTTTTATCTTGATTTAAAACCAAACACTTGTCACTAATTTACAAGGAAGTCTGTAGGAAGTGTAGGGAGAATTAAGAATTACATCTTGGGAGTTAAAGGGTTAAGTATCTTAAGAATGGAATAAAAGAATTGTATATTAGTAGTTGAAGGGCTAGTTGCATAACTATTCTACATGTGGGTATAATTTAATTTCTTTTGGTGAAAATTTGTATTGTTTTCCAGATTCTTTGAGTACAGGCAGACCACACTATGTGTTTGTGGCCAATTATTGTTGACATGAGACAAACAAAATCTACCAAGGTTATGAATGAAGCTCTATAATTTGGCCGGCCTGACGTTTCATGAAGACGAAAAAATACCACAATGTATTGATTAACATTTAATTTAACTTTATTGAGATATTCAGAAATAGATGTACTTTAGATGTCAACAATGATTAACCACGAACACATAGTGTGGTCTACCTGTGCCCTAAAGGCAGCGGAAATGCACTGCAGGGAAACAGATACAGATGGGTTTTTCTTTTTTCTGATTTTTGCAGTCTTTAGAAATAATTTTCATTTGAGACAATTTGTTTAGGATTATTTAGAATGTTTACAGGCCTCCGCGTTTTCTGTCACAGTTGTCCGCGGGTACTGGAAAACAAATGTCGGTACACTAGTGTACACGAGAGATGGCGGCGAGACATGCTTCGTAGAAAAAGATGGAAAATGCTTTGACATCAAGTTCCTGCATGGAGTGTGACGGTCCTTGGCACGTTTTATCTTTGAATAACCAACGGTAAACAGTGTGATGTGGCAATTATAATTCGTCATTGGAAGATTCCAGCAGACCTTCGATGAAATTTGTTTCTGTATACAGGAGGTGATTGGTGTAAACTCATTTAAAACTGCTAACATCAGCAGTTGACGTTTGAGGAATTCGACATGAAAAGCAAAGACATAAATTTGATCTAATCAGTCACAGTTGACGCTGAACGGTTACAAACTAAGGCAACTAACATTTCGATTGATTAGCAAGATGAAGGTCAGGATTTCTTTCGGTCAAACGATGTTCGTATCTTTAGTGGTCTCTCTTCTGTTTTGCAACGCGTATGCGGAAGAGCCTATCGGTAAAGAGCCGATCGGTAAGGAGCCTATCGGTGAAGAGCCGATCGGTAAGGAGCCTATCAGTAAGGAGCCTATCGGTAAGAAACGAATCGGTTCAATTTTTAGAATGATATTTTTTTCCGGAAGTTGTTTTGAGAAGTTCTGGTCACCAATCAATACAATCCATGTTAAATATTTGCCTACCTATATTTCCTCAACAGAGCCCAAGACCAAAGGACTATGCTTCAGTTGGAAGAATCGTCTGTGAGACCACAGACCGTTTGAGGAGATGGTGTTGCTGTATGCAAATGCAAGGGAAGGAGCCTGGTGATGGTTGCCATTGCTCAATAGGTTCGGTACAAATGTACTTAAACACTTGAAAATTATTGGTTTAGTATTTGTCTACAGCATCGGAGGAAGGTTATCGTCAAAGACTGTTTTCTTGCTCCAAATGAAATTATTGTGTAAGTCTTGATGTATCTAGGTTTTCATGTATGATGTCAACCTTGCTAGTGAATAGATGTTTGCCAGTCTGCAGAGTATGGCAAGTACAAGAAAAATCTTTTTCTCTCAATGTCCATTCTCAGGGTCAGAATCACAATACTGCACGCAGTAGTTTTAGTATCACCGGCGATAGAGCTGAATAACATCTGCACTCGTAACTATGGCGGTAATTTTAAAAGCGTTGAAACGCTAAATGCCTTGATCCACCAGTTGCCAACAAAACAGATTCCTGTGTAGAGCGGCTTTATCATCAGCACAACAGTTTGCAGCTTACCGGCAAGTGTAAGGTAAACCATGCGTGCAAAAATAGATTTTGTTTTGAATGACATCTCTATAGGAAAAGAGCCAATTTTACCACTTCCCTGCTTTGCATGTGCTTGAAGAATTTTTCGCGCGGGAGCCCTGAAAGTGGTGACATGTACCTGAAATGTTTTCCAGCCCTGCAGCTGTGGTGCCAGTGCCCGTACAGGCATACTGGAGCTCTGGGTCCAGTTATTGAAGGCTGATTAGCGGGCACGCAAGGGTAAATTTGAACTAAAGTTTTTATTCCTTGTTCAAAAGTTTTTTAGAGATAATTTTCTATGGCCTCATTGAACATCCAGACTGGAACAGCAAAAGATTTGAACTAGAATTTCTTTAAAGTTTTCTAGACCTCAAATCAAATTTGACTCAACTGTGGTTATCTAAACTCGCTTTTGAACAACCCAGGCTCAGGTACCCAAAGACTGAATGGCTATGTCCATTTGAATTACTTTCTTCTCAACCCAGCAAAACAGTTAAATTTTATTCCCTCAAGTTAGTGAAGTCACGAGCGTGCAAAGGAAATGCTTCTGCAAAAGTTTGAACTCCAGACTTCTTTTCTCAAATCTGATGTCTTTGAACTAACTTCAAGATTATTAAAGCCAAGAAATTTATCTTATTTTATGTTGCAAGACTCACTGAATCCTGTCTCAAAGCTTCAAAGCTGCATACAAAATTTTCCCAAAATCTCCTTCAAATCACTGAAGTTTAATTGAATGACAATTTTTTTTTGCTTTCTTAGTGGAAGGTAGTCCTGAAGGTCATCCAGGTGTGAGAGAGAGAAGATGTAAGTGAGAAGATCATCATTAATGGTATTTCATATAATGAACGTAATGTCATAGTCTGACCTGACCCATGGTAGTTAACCATGCAGACAAGATTAGAGCTATCCATGCGAAATATATCCTTTCCTATTTCCTTTTAGTCATTTGGTCAGGCAAAAAACATAAAAACAGCAAATAAGCAAGCAATGGAAATCAAGTGAAAAACATAATTTTCTGAGAGAACCTAAGTTCAGGAAAAGCTCAGATGTGTATTAAAGAAACGCTTTTAGTATCCTGCATCTTCTTTCGACGTTGGTTCTGTTAACGTGCCGAACAAGTCACAAGGAAGTCAACAAATAGATTGCATGTTGTGGTAGGTTGGTTAACTTGTAGATTGGCAGGATCAGTGAGGTGGTGAGAATGTGCAGTCACATGATGAGTAAGCTGGCAAAACAGGGGGTCCTTACCTCATTTTGATCTTTACTGTCACCTTTGACTTTACAATGATTCATAGGGGAAATGGCAAATTAATCCTAATATTGATCAATCATAACTTTTAGATAATTATTTATATTGACAACTGAATTCTTACTTTATCGAATTATATCAAATATTCTTCTAGCTCTTCAATGTAAGAATGAATAAAATTAACTTCTCAGGTGATTACTTTCTTTTAACAAATTTCATGAGGATTTTGTGGAATGAATACATTGTGCAAGCAACTGTACTTTACTAATGGTTAATGAGAATGACTTGTTCCTTTCAGCATATGGTGCAGAAACCTGTGGCATGAACACTTTTTTTCTGACAGCCACTGGCCCTAAATTTTCAGGCGTGGTAGCTAATTCAAAAGCTGAAGGCTATTTCAAAGACAAACAAAACCTTTTTTTATGCTGTCAAATGGATAGACCTCCAAACAAAGTTAGGAAAGATCTTGTCAAAGGCTAAAGTGTGACACCAGACATGATATACAACTCTCAAGCTCACCTAACCAAGATGGCATGGTTATCAACAAATGTGTGTGTGTTGCATTTTGAAACAAACTTAATGAGGAAGTTAAATGATTGTTTTGCAAACTTTTTTTAATTCACTATTCTAGGTAAGGTTATTACATATATCTTAGTTGCCAATCATAACCACCTTTCAGGATTTGCCACAGCAGTACCAGCGTCGCCTTATAGGTGCCACCCACGCCCAGGTTCTCGCCATATAATACTTTGGTATGCACGGTGGCATGTAGTTACCAAATTATGACAAACACGAACCATCACTTAAAACAAGACTAATTCTTTAATGAGCTTATTGAAGTAATTGTATCCATGGGTGAGTTGGCGACTTGACGGGATAACAAAGTTAATATTTCATCTTTGTAGATCAGTAGTTTCTTTTTGAATCAGGTTTTTTCTTAATGTATTAATTTGTTATGCAAGAAAAAAGTGAACATGATCAACAGCATGTTTCTTTATTTCTAGGGTGGATTTGGGGAATGTGGAGCAGAAATCAGGAAATTAGTAAGTAACCTCTAATTTGGTGCCAAATAGAATAAGGACCTTAAACAAACCACAACTGCAATGGCAAAAAGGATATTGCAAAACAAGAGATCTAATGGACAGAGCAATTGCTGTTTTAAATTTGTTCATTTCTCAGGCATTGTCTAAAAAACAACAACATGAAATTGTCAACATTTCTGTGGTCTGAGAACAAAACGCAACAACAAATTATTCAAGTATTTATTAGCAATTCTGGGGCGCTAACATACTTTACGTTGAAACTCAAGGTGTGGTGCAATAATAGTCAGTAAACGCATCTTTTTCAATTGATGTCCACCTCAGCATTGCCATCTTGACTGCGTAAGGTACATAATATATAAATGTTTAATGCTTTAAACCATAAGAGTGACGAGCATCTAATTTCTCCATACAATATCTCCCCTGAATTAAATATTAAAAGTCATGAGAGTAAAGGAAACTATCACAAACTAAAAAACCAATAGATTAATAAACAAACTCTCCTTGTTAGCAACTCAGGAAATGCATAGAGAACAGCAAGGAGAATATGCATACTGATATTAAGGTGTAAAGATATAAAAGTAGACTCAGTAGATGATCAGTCATGATCAGGTAGCACTATGCTTTAAGCAAGGGGGAATCTTAAAAACTATGTAATTATTATTATAAGAGGCAAAAGATTGATAAATCAGACCTTTCTTGGCAACAAAATTGTTCCATCTTTCAATTGGAACAAAGTGTTTGTCTTTTGAGGAAAGTTTATTTGAGTCCCTTCAATGTTTATAGTGAGTTATATCTTAACCCTTTAAAATTTTAAGATCTGATTGTTAATTCTCCCCTCTAGCTGCTACACATTTCCTTGTAAATTAGTGTTAGATCAAGATAACTTCAAGGTGATAAGTCTG